TTTCATGATCGCTAATTGCGATCCTGTCCTAAAGGTCTGAAATTCTATCCTCGGCTTCATTTAAATGATTTTGCCAGCTTTCAATAGAATGTTTTGTTTCTTGGATGTCTCTGAGTTTGTTTCATGAATTCTGTTTGTTTTCTGTATTGTTCATTCAAGGTTTCAATCAGTTTCCTATGCTCTTGTACTTTTAATCTATTTCTTCTCTAGCTACACTGAGCAACTCCTTTATTAAGGTTGTCATTTCTGTTTTTACATGAGAGATTACTTCTAATTTGATTTCCTCTATAGCCTCATGGAGTTGTTTTTTATTTCACTTGCTATCTTTTCAGAGATTCCGGTGTGTTACTTTTGAAGTCCTCTATTTCCATGTCTCCTATGCTTGCTCCTGGTGGACTAGATCTTTGCGGTTGCATTTTGCTTTTTCATTTTGCCACTTTTCCCTTTCCGGTTAATATTTGGTCCTCTAATCCCCAATGTCAACTGTTGATAGTGTGTATCGTGGGGTCCTACTCTAAGGCTGATGTTTGTACAATTGCTTGGTTTCACAATGAAGATGTGAGCCCATCACCTGAATTCCCCCTGCAAGGCCTAGGGGTACTAATGGATATCAACCCCTAGTTCCTGCTGTTTTATGTCCTCAGGTTGTTCAGAGTCATCAGATCTCCCTATTCATAGTATTTGTCTCGTCTAGGACCCTACTGTGTCTCTGGGTGTCCCACTGGCCCCCTTAAGTTTCTCCTGGTTGAGGGAGGCCTTGTTGGTGCCCTCTTCAACTTAACTAATATTCTTTATATGGAGGAAGTTCTCATTCACCCATTTGCCAGGCTCCCCTATGGCCTACTTCTGGAGGGGGCTTCTCTGTTGCTCCTGTTTACCCACTGAAGGTGGCAAACTCTATTCCTGTTTTAGGGGCAGACTCAACTCACTGATGGAAGCCTGCTGAGTTCTTCTTACTGAGTCTCCTCTCAATACTGCATGGTTAATCCACTGCAGTGCAAGGTTCTTGGGGGAGTTGTGGGAGCCGAAGGTCAACAGCAATACTAGGTCCAGGTGGTGGTGGGGGTCCCTGATGGCAGCGACAGGACTTTGTGGGAGCACATCTTAGGTTGGAGTTCATAGGTCCTGAGGTGGGTGGCCAGGAATGTGGGACACAGGAGGGGTCAGCTTGTGGCCCAGCCCCATGCGCAACTCTAGCTGTAGTTCCTGGTTCCAGCGAGGTGGACTATGGAGACTGCAGGAGTTGCAGGTGAGGCCCCTGTCTAGGTGGTCTGCGGAGGTGGTGGGAGTCTCAGGAAGGGCCTGGGTCTAGCCCAGCTCCATGCACACCTCTGGCTGGAGTTCCTGGGTCCTGTGACATTGTCAGAATTTTTAAGTAAACTCTTCTACTGGATTATTCATCTACCTTTTGAGAATTTTAAGAGAATAAAGTTTTATACTTATATGGGTCCAGAAAATGGCAGGTTATATTTTTTGATAGTTAAACTTTTGAAGTGAACAATAAAAATAAATTACAAACAATTTCTAAGATGACAATATGTAACCTATTAACTAGTGATTTCTTACTATTTATCTGAAATTCTGTATTACTTGTACCCTTTTACTGTTTTGTTTCTTCTCTTTAAATAAAAATTTAAAAAAATAAATTACATTAATGATTCTTTTGTTTTTATAATATGCATTCAAATACTTGAAAAGTGAAATACTCATCATTTTCATGCATCTGTTAAGCTAAAATTTGTAATTTAAGATAGATACACTGGATTAAAAACAGTTCTTCACTCATTTATTCCTTCATCCATTTTTTTAATCTCTTTTGCTGAATAAAAACCTTAAGGCATCTTAAAATCATATGTGAAATACAATAAAACATAAATAAATTACTAAAAATATGGGTCAAGAGCACAGAGAAATAAAAATTCCTGCCATTAGAACCTGCAGAGTATCTAATGTGCTAAATGTGCACCTGTGTTACAGCACTTGAGAGGCTGAGGCAGGAGGATGTCTGAGTTTGAGGCCAGCCTGGACCTCATAGTGAATTCAAGGCCAGCCTAACCTACATAATGAGACCATCTCTCAAAAATAAAGAACCTACATAGTTGATACAGGTGAACCACAAATTTGACTCTAAATTTTCAGAGAGAAAAAGGAACCTTATTATTTTCAAGATTTTCAGAGGTTAAAGGGTATATTATATAAGGATGATGTATGGGCCTCCAAATAATATAACGGAAATATTGTAACTCCCAACCTGCTAGATGTCCAAAATGCCAAGTTTCTGTTCGCTAAAACTGAAGATGAATTCTAGGAACAAAGGTGGTTAAAAGTAGGAAGAATTTATTGAGGGAGAGACAGCTCCTGAGAAACAGGAGGCGATCCAGAAGTGGATTGCCTTTTCACCTCACTCAGGAGTGCAGATGGGACAATACATAAGTGAAGATTTTTCCGCTGGCTACCCACTTAGGCTTTTAGAACTTAGCTTCCACTGAGGAACCTTTGGGTATTCATCAGACTATAGCCCTTGCCATGACCCCTCAGTGTTCTCTCAGTTTGTATTGGTCCCCCCAACCAGAGACTCATCTCCAGAAAGGAATTCTACTGCCTGTCTGGTCCACTTTCCATTGGTCATTGACTTCAGTGGGGATTCACTGGAATGTCCTGGAGAATCTGTCCTCTGCTTTTAAGAATGTGGTGGCTGCTCTCAAAGCTTTTAACTGTCCAGAGTAGCTGCCATTTGTTAATTGTTCTGTAAGGAGTACATAAAAAACCTGAGCTAAATACAGACTAGATTTGAAAAAGACCCTTTTACAGCATTTCATGTGAAGGTCCACTAGACGGTGCACTAACACAACTTTTCTTTACTGCTGTTGTCTGAGATAACAAACTGACCAGTCAAACAAAAAACCCTAGTAAATTCAGTAAGTCCAAATGCAATATATGTAAAACAGGAATAAAATATCCCATTAAAGAAGTATTATAATCTTTCCATGTCCTAAAATTTATCATTTTAAGAAAACACTAAGCAATGACAAAGAAACTGTAAATCATAAAAGTTTTGATTACCTAAATCACAATCCAGAATCCGTGAAACAAAAGCATACCTCTTACCTCTTTCCAGTTATCTCAGTGGGACCTGCAATTGATACAGGACATACAATATTATACAAGGGAAATGTTATTACTCCCAATCTACTACATTCATAAAATACTGAGTTTATGCTCTCTAAAATTGGGGAATGAGTTCTAAGAACAGTAGAGGTTAAGCATAGGGAGAATGTATTGAAAGAAAGATAGCTTCTAAGAGAGACAGAAGAGGACCTAGAAAGTGGGTTGTCCACTGACCCGCTTCTCAAGGGTGTTTCATTAAGCAAAGACACAAGATAAAGTAGGTTCAAGGTGGGACCCACCTATAGTCAGTTAATAAGAGTATAAGTACAGTTGCTTAGATAATATTGAACCAATTGGAAAATCACAAGTTGGGTGTGAGGTAGGATAAAATTATGATGAACCGAGGTTTTGGTTCCCTATCCAAGGCTGATGCCTCTTTAGAATATCAATCACTGCCTTCCCTAGATGAAGTATGCAAGTGGAGTTCCTCTTTTTCTTGAAGCCTGGCCTTTAGTGATTGTATTTCAAATTACAGTTATCTTCTGTGCACAGCCCTGTCTGACTGCCTGTAGTATTTATAACTAAGTTATCTACAATAATAGTGAGTTCAAGGCCAGCCTGACCTGCATAGAAGACCATGCCCCAAGAAAAGGAACCTTTGGGCCGGAGTTTAGCTCAGTGGTGTAAATGCCTACTTGGCAAACGTGAGGTCATGAGTTCGATCCCCAGCACCAAAAAAAAAAAAAAAAAAAAGGAACCTATATACTTGAGCCAGATATGACACAAATTTGACTCCAAATTTTCAAAGGGAAAAAGAAACCTTCTTAATTTTCAAGATTTTCAGAGTTCATGGATAAAACCAAATCTGTTGTTTAAGAGCTGTGCAAGATATTAATATCATATACAATTTTTTTCCTAGGACCTCTCATAAGGACCATGTTACGTATAATGGGATTATTATTTGCCAAATTGTAATGATCTTTAGCCTATGGTGGTAGCACTATGTAAGAATTCCTTGATTCACAAGAGTTACAAAGCATTCCAAATCAAGAGTCAAAATGTTTTAGCCAGTTATTTCAGATCTGGTATTATAGTTACATTAGTGGGTTTCAATTTTAATGTTACTTAAAGAGCTCATTGAAACACATGTTTGTCAGCCCTATTCTTAGAGTTACCAAGGTCTGGCTTGGGACCTAGGATTTGTATTTCTACTGAAGAGATTTTATATAACCCTGATTTGCAGTGCTGTGAATTCTGAGGTTCTTATAGGCTGAAGAGAAATGAGAGACCTTGTGCCTATGAAACTGAATCCTTTCATGTATGTGAAAGCCCTTATTAGGTTCCCCTTAACTGTTGAATCTGTCTCCTTTCAGTATATGCAGTAAGCATTAATACTTAGAAAATAAAAATAATATACTTGACATATATTGGATTGAAATAAGATGGCTATGAGATGAGAGAAATGCAAAACCAGCAAGTATTCTACAAATCGTATTAGGCTCATTATACTGTTGAAGAAACTAATGTAGAGTTAAGCGACTTGTGGTAGGGTAAACAACTGCTAACGTGTGCCATCAGAAGTTGAAACTTAAAACTTGAGTTCCTCTGAACACAGTGGTACACGCCTATAATCCCAGCATTTGGGATTGATCTGCTGAGGCAGGAAGATCACTGTGAGTTCAAGGCTTCCTAGACTACATAGCAAGACTCCATCTCAAAAAAAAAAAAAAAAAAAAAACCAGAAGACTTTGGGTTCCTGGGTGAGAATAACTGTTTTTTTAGCAGCAACATAATCATTACTAATAATAAGTTCCTTTTGTGGTTTAAAAAAGTCTGGTTGAATCTGATTTTGCCTATCTCTATATAACAATAAATTGATAATATTATTTTAGATTGCAAATTCAATTGCCATAAACGGTGTGCATCAAAAGTACCACGAGACTGCCTTGGGGAGGTTTCTTTCAATGGAGGTACAGTTATTTCTCTTAATTTCTATAAAAGATCAGAAAAGGTTGATTCTTTCATGTAAGATTATATTTGTATTTTTTGTTTCTTTAAGCTTTTCATCTTAATAAGCAAAATACAGCAATACTATACCTTTATTAATAATTAAGTTTTATTATCTTTCCTTAACCCTCCTGTCACTTGATAATCTGAGATAGCCCATGCTACTATGTATCTTCTGTCGAGACAAAAAAAAAGCTTATGTTCTAAAACTTTGTTGTTTTCTTTATTCTTTTAAATTTCTAAATATTTATTGAATGTTTACTGTGCTAGCATTGTTCTAAACTCTAAAAACATGGACATTTAAACATAAGAACCACGCTTTTAGATAAGAAAAGGAAGCACAGACCTGCTAACACATTTTTTCAGTGTTGTATAAATGATATTAGCCTCAGTACACAGATGAAGAAATTGATCCCTGTTAGGTTAAGTGGCTTATGAGAAGTAACCCTAAGGAAGTGCTCTTCTGAGCATATGCTTACTGGTTAGTTTGGAGATTTTGTCCTTGTTAGTTATGTATTTAAGTGCTTATTTTTGTTTATTACAGATTAGCACTAATTTTATATCCTACTCTTTTTTCAGTTATATGTGGTATAAAATTAAGCATCATTTTACATTCCCACCAGCAGTATACAAGGATTTCAGTTTCCCTATTTTCTTGCCACCTGTTTTTACTTTCTGTCTTTTTTGTTACAGCCATTTAAAAGTGTGGCATGTATATTATTGTAGTTTTTATTGCACTTCCCTGCTGGCTACTGATATTGAGCATCTTTTCATGTGTTTATTTGGCCATTTTTATTTATTCTTTGGAAAATACCTCTTCAGGTCCTTTTCCCATTTATTAAGATATTTCTCTTTTAGTTACAAGTTGTAAAAGTTCTTCAAATAGTCTGGATGTAAGACTGTCATCTCATAATGCAATTCACAAATACTGTCTTCAAGTCAGTGGCAGTCTTTTCACTTTATTAATTTTCCTTTTGTCACGTAGCCTTTTGGTGTTGTATCAAAAAAGGTGTTTCCTAACCCAGGATCATGAAAGTTTATTCCTGTTTTTCTTTTAAGAGTTTTATAATTTTAGTTCTCACATCTTAGGTTGCAGTCTACTTTGAGTTACTTTTTGAATAGTTTAAGAAAAGGATCATACCTCATACTTTTGCATGTAGATATCTAGTTGTCCAAAACCATTTATTAAAAACATTATACTTCCCCCACATGAGTTGATCATAATGTAATAGTGGAGGCTTATCTTTTACTTTACTGGTATGTAGTACCTGTTGTTGTATGGGAATTTAAAGTTTTTATGTCAAATTAATTTTTTCCTTATGATTTGTACTTTTGTGCCTCATGACTTGTGCATTTTGTATATTCTCTAAGAAATACTTTTTTATCTTGAATTACTGTCTGTTTAAAAATTTTGACATTTTTATCTATTTAATAGACTGCTATACTTACATGTGTTGCTATTTCATTCGTATAAAATCTGAAATTTAAAACCTTTCTAGAACCTTCCAGTATGGGAACAGATACAGATATACCAATGGATATTGATAGTAACGACATGAACACTGATGGTAATCGGAGTTTAGATGACACAGAAGAGCCGTCTCCTCCAGAAGATAAAATGTTCTTCCTGGATCCCTCTGATCTTGATGTGGAACGAGATGAAGAAGCTGTTAGAACAATCAGGTAATGTGTAGGTGGTAGCAGCAAATTCCAGATATGAGGTCAAAGTCACTCTTTTGAAACATTAAGGAAAAGCTTCATTTCTTTAAGCAGAACCTTAAATGTAATTTAAAATCTAATTAAATCATGGCTAATTCTTTTATACATGTCATAGCACTTCTGAAATAAGTTTTATTGCCTTTGCCATACACTCAAGATGAGCAAATATAAGAACTTTCTTAAAAAGAAAAATAAACTGTCTGTTACAACAACCCGTTTCTTCAAACAGGCAGATTATTTTATAGTGAAACTAGTAGGTAATAATTACAGTTACTCTAACAGTGATGCACAAAGATGATAGGGATTCAGATGATGGTGATGAACTTAGGAGCAGTTTTCATAATTAATGTATTACTTAATAGTTACTGTACTGTTATTACCAGTATTTAGTCTTATTGGACTATAAGATTTAAACATTCTAATTCATATATATGAGTGTGTGTATATATATGTGCATAGATATATATTTACAGTGTTTGTAGCCTGTAGAATATACAACTTTGTAGAAAAATGTAAGCATTTTGGCAGGTTTTGCTTTTTGGTTAGCAGTGAATGAAGAACTGTTTAGAGAAAATGGGTCAGTCTCATCATGCTGAGTCATCTTTTATTCACTTCAGTTTATAATTGTTACTATTATTGTTGTTGCTGCTACTATTGTTACTAAAACTTAGTATTTACCCAGTGTGGAAACTGTTAAAGAACACAGCTGGGTTCCTAATCACAAATTACTTAACAGTTTTAAGAGAAGTATTTAACTGTTTGCTGCCTACATTGCAAAAAAGTGTTTTACACACATACCCCAAGTTGGTTCTTTTCTCCAGCTGTAGTCATGATTCATAATTCAATATAATCTGCTGTAACTCTTTACCTTTTTTTCCTAATTACTATCTGTTAAGTCTTTTTTGCTTAAATATTTTCTGGTAAGAATACTTTTTGCTGAAGTATGATCCACAGAGTTCTACGTTTGAGCCATGTGAATTTGAGTACTGTATATATAGATATTGTACCTTTTTGTGAATTTGCTAATGTTTTATGATGCCGAGGAGAGGAAAACTTCCTAAAAGCAAACCAAATGAGACCTCTCCAGCTTCCAAATCTTTCAGTTGACAAGGATTCCTTTATTCTGTTAGTTCCCGTATTATTTTTGTGACCTGCACTCTTGGAAGACATTCATAATAAATAATGAATGTTTATGTTATCTCAGTCTTCTGTAAATTAACAGTGTGCCAAAAAACAAGGCTAATGTATTTTCTTCAATCATTGTCTTTAACATGTTTTTAAAATTTTAACTTAGTTTTAAAAAGACGAGATTGTAGTATTTTTTAATCAAAATTTTTGATAAATTTGTAATACCTTTTAGTCCATCAACAAGCAATAACATTCCACTAATGAGGGTTGTACAGTCCATCAAGCATACAAAGAGGAAGAGCAGCACAATGGTGAAGGAGGGGTGGATGGTCCATTACACCAGCAGAGATAATCTGGTCAGTAATCATGTTTTATTACGCTAGTTAAACATGGTTATGAGTTTTGTTCTATGTACTTTTTAAGTCAAAGGACATATATATGTTATGTGTACTATCGTAATATGAGTTACACTGAAATAAGTTACACTTATAAAGCATTTTTAAAAGATAAAATATTTAATGTTTTACACGCAGTGTTCAAAAAGGGTCTAGTATCATGTCTCAGTAATGAGTGTTGACTCAAAACAATGAAATGCATACAGTACCCAGTGAGTGTCATGATGTGAAATCCAGCAATACTATTATTATTTGTTCAGAATGATTTTAACCTGCTTTAGTTCTAACATAAATGAAGATATGGATAACTGCATGTATGTTTAAGTGTATAGGATTGACAACCATGTTACTAAGTTTTTGTTGGACAGTTGAACAGAACTGTTTGCAGTCTCGCTGTTTGAATTCCCACTTTACATATTCCACTCTTTTACCTTGTACAACTATTTGTAAAACGACAATATGTAAACATCAACTAGCGATTTCTTACTGTTTATTTTTTTCTCTGAACGTATGTATTATTTCTGCCTATTTTCAGTTTTGCTTAGTCTTTCTTTAAATAAAATTAAAAAAGAAAATACAGAATCTTTGGTAACCCACTCAAGACCCCTTCTGTCTCTCTCAGACAGAATCTTTCTCTAAATAAATACTTCTGCTCTTAAAAAAAAATGAGGTGCAGCTAAAGGTAGAACAATCTAGAACTTCATCTGATAAGAACTTCATCTTAAATTACTACAGAGATAGGGAATACTTGTTTTTATGTAGACCAGTTATTAGATCTGTCTATCAAAGAGGAAGAATGGTGAAATTACAGTGAGATGACTGCAGATACAAAGAATCAGCATGAAATAGTAAGAACAGAGCCTTTGCAGCTAGATTGCTTAAGTCTGTAAACTGTAAACTTAGGAAAATTTCTTTACATCTCAGTTTGCACATCTATAAAATTGGCATAGTAAGCCAGGCATGGTGGCACATGCCTATAATCCCAGCACTCAGGAGGTTGAGGCAGGAGAATCACCATGAGCCTAGGCTATGAATTGAGTTCAAGGCCAGCTTGAACTGCATACTGAGACCATCTCAAATAATAATAAAAGTAAAATAAAATAAGTATAGTAATAGTAACCTGCCTTATAGGTAGACGTATCCCAATATACCAGAAGAATTTGGAACAGTGTTTGGCATATAGTTAACACCTAGTAAATATTAGCATTATTATTCTTTTTAGAGTTTGCAGACATGTTACTTAAAGTGGCTTTGCAGTGTAACCTTTTAAAATGAAGTACTCAGCAGACTGAGCTTATTTTAGTAAAGTTTTATATACACCAGTTTCGTATTTTTTCTTTTTTTTTTATAGTTTGTGTCCTTCCAGACTGAATCTGAAGTTATATACATACATTTGAGGATTCAGTAGTGTAGCAAAAGTGTTGTATCAAATCAATGAGAATGATAAATAATCCAGTAAATATCATTGACAATCATTAGCTTTTTTGAAAAATGTAAGGTTGAAAACATATCTCATACTTTACATGTAATAAATCTAAATAGATTAAAGATTTAACTGTAAACAGATTATTTCATAAAGTCAGTGGGGGAAAAAAATAAAAGATTGATAAATTTAATTTCATAAGAAATTCTTATGTGACAAAAAGCAGAGACCAAAATAGAAACTGGAAAAAGTATTTTTAACTCATTCTGAACAAGAGTTAATTTTATGATATGTGAATAAAGTCAACAGATTGTTAGGAAAAAGACCATAGGACAGTGGAAAAATGGACAAAGAATATGAACAAAGTTCACAGAAAAAAAATACAAATGACTCGTTTGGAACTTGATTTCATTTATAATAAAAGATCTATCAGTTTAAACTTTCATTGAAATACCAGTTTTTATTTTTCAGTACATCAGATAGTCTAGTAACATACTGCATTAATGAAGGCATGATTAAATAGGGGCTTTTGTGTTGCTGATGAGACTACAAGTTGAATCAAATCTTGTGGAGAATAATGTAGCACCATCAGAAAATTACAGGTGCACACATCTGACCCAGCAGCCCAGCTTCTAGGAATAGCTTATAGATAAATTCTCATTCATATCCCATCTGTGTGTGTGTCTCTGCATGCATGTGTGTGATTTTATACTTGGATAATACAGGCATGCACACAAATACCTATAAGAGGATTCCTGAAATCCTCTTACAACATTGTTTGTAAGGTTGAGATGTGGGATATGAGTAAGTGTAGGAATGATACTTTCACTATATGACCTTTTATATTGTGAGAATGTTGAACTTCTTGAATTCTAAACTTATTCAAAAATATAAATTCATGGAATGGAAATTAAAAGAAAGTAAAAGTACTTTTATTTTTGAACCTCTGTTTTATAGAGAAAGAGGCATTATTGGAGACTTGACAGCAAATGTCTAACATTATTTCAAAATGAATCTGGATCAAAGTATTATAAGGTAAGAATTTCACATTTTATAAAAGAGATTAAAATATTGTACTTTTTCAAACTATTCAAATGATGCTCATTGTTTGTATGTGGTTCTTATGACTCTGCCTAGTATATCTTATAGAAGTCACTGTTCCCTTGTTTCAGCAGCCGTTCCCCATCCTTCCATCTCACACCCCACTGTCCACAGCTCCACTACCAAAGATTGTTTTCTGTTGGTGTGTATGTGTGGTTTTGGCCTGTCAGGCTGCTGCTACTTTGCTTCTGGATACTGTGGTTTTAGTCAGACCGCTTAGAAAGTCACTTGATCATTGCTTATGCAGAAGTCACATTATTTTAAGCTCCAAATCTTAGTTGCTTGTTTTGGCTCTTTGTCTCCTTCGTGCAGTTTTATTCCTTGGCTTGTCCTACATTTTGCCAGGTCACAAACTGACATCAAAGAAGACTGTAAGTGTACTGATGATTAGTGTAATGTCAGTAAGAAAGAGAACAGGAGCTGGACAGAAGAAACTTTCATCCTTTCAGAGACCTAAGTTTTATGTTCAGGAACAGTACTTGGGGCTGGGGATTTAGCTCAGCAGCATAAGAACCTGCCTTGCAAGCAGGCAGTCGTGAGTTTGATCCCAGGTACCAATAAAAAAAAAAGTAATAGTACTTACCCATGGAGGAAAATGAAACATAGTTTCTAAAGAAAGAAAGGCAAAATTAATGAGTGAAAATCTTCAGTGAATAAAACAAGCTGTTTGGGAGATAAAGATAGGAAAATTGTTTTGGTCTGGGAGTTTGGCACCAACCTGGGCAAAATAGGAAGACCCCATCTAAAAGGCAAATAGAGAATAATGGTGACTTGATTTTTAAAAATAAGTTTTTTGGCCTTACAAAGTGGACTTTAATGTTAATTTTTAAACCCAGAATAATGGACATGAACCAGAATGTATGGTCAGTTAAGCAACTTAAACTAACCAGAATTCTGTGTCTTCTGCAATTAGTTCTGCTTCTTATTTACTTACAGAAAAACATCTGCTAGAGAAGTAGCTGTTGGGTTAATTTAATGACAAATGGAAATTGACAAGTATTGAATATAGTGGCAAACTATCCTAAATCCTTCGTGTCTGCATCTTAAAGGCCTGCTACACAGGCCTGAATCTCTTATTATAGTTTACATACATCCTCTGCCTCTCACATTGCTGGACATAGAAATCACTTAAGGCATGCACTGTCAAGACTTAATTATATATTTTATATGCTACATACTCTGTTCATCTTAATAACATTCATAAAAATTCTTATTTCAGTAGTTTAGTATATTTAAAAATTAAAACAAATAGATACTCATATTGTTCAAATGCTTAATTTTTACTTTAGGAAATTCCACTTTCAGAAATTCTGCAAGTGTCTTCGCCAAGAGATTTCACAAACATTTCACAAGGAAGCAACCCACACTGTTTTGAAATCATTACTGACACTATGGTATACTTTGTTGGTGAGAATAATGGGGACAGCTCTCATAATCCTGTTCTTGCTGCCACTGGAGTTGGACTTGATGTAGCACAGAGCTGGGAAAAAGCAATTCGCCAAGCCCTCATGCCTGTGACCCCTCAAGCAAGTGTTTGCACTTCTCCAGGGCAAGGGAAAGATCACAGTAAGCAATAAGCTGGTTGATAGCTTTTTCTCTTCTTTGGTTTTAAGCGTTTTGGGGTGTAATTGTGTTTCTTTGTGCATTTTTAATGCCCACACATTGTCTTTAATAACCAATACTGTTATTTAATCCATCTGTAAAACTGCTTTTTAATCATAAAAAAGCTGGGCTCTGGAGTCTTCTCCCCACACTCGGGTGCTAGCTCTACCAACTGCTATATGACCTTAGGCAAAGTACTTTACCTCTTTGAAGTAGTACCTACTTAGAGGGTTGTCAGTATTAAAATGAAAGGAACCTGTAAGATATAGAAGAATGCTTGGCATCCAGTAAGTCTTAATGAAGTATTCTACTGGTATTAGTATTTTGTTTCATGGTAGGAGATAACAAAAAATAATAAACTGTTAATATTCACATCATGGTCGTGAAATCTGTGATGCCAGAAATACTATATTTTAAATGAGATTAAACATTGAGAAATATAAAAAATTATTGAATACACATTCTTTACCAATAGAATTTTAAAAATTAAACCTCAGTTTGATTAAAGTTTGAGGGGACAATTATTACAAAGGCATAATATAATGCTGTTTTTACTCCATTGCCATTTGTGAGGAAACATCATTCATTAAACAAATGCATTTTTATTGAAATAAGTATTAATCACTTTGTTTCAATTTACCTATATAATTCTGTGCTGCTGTTGACCTTGTGCTAGACCCTGAGATAGAGCACTAAAGAAATACAGAAATCATAAGACCTATTTAGAGAAATGTGATATACATTACTAAGTTTTAAATGGTAGCATAATGCAGTACAGTGCACAAAATGAGGAGTGCATTAATTGAAAAACTTAGATGTAGATAAAAGAGTAAGCATGAACTTCCCAGCAGAAAAATCCAATTTGGCACTCTGGGAGATCACATGTTCAAGCTCAGCCTAGGCAACTTAAATGACTTAGCAAGATCTTATCAGAAAATGTGAGAGGAGTCAGTTGAGAAATAGATTAGTGGAAAGGCCCCCCGAGTTCAACAAAAAAAACACAAAATGAAAAAGTAGTGCATATACACATATAACACCTATCCCCAGCCCCAGTTTTATAGCACTCCCTTGGGAAACCATTATTGAGTTTGCTGTGTAATTCTTCTTTAGTCAAGGAATAAACAGAAGGAGAGCCTGTCATGTATTATTGACTATATAGTTTTTTTTAAATTAAAAAGATTAGGTCGTACTCCATGTGGGTTTTTGTGGGATTTTTTGCAGCTTTTACCCATTTATTATATGCAAATGTATTTCATTGTCTGAATGTTTTGAAGCTTACAAATACTAAAACCCTCACTACTCTAATCTCTACCTCTCCCACTCAACCAGAAGTAATATTCTTCAACTTTTTTTTTTTTAAATTTTATTTTAGCAGTGCTGGGGATTGAACCAGAAGCCTCACACATGCTAGGCAGATGCTGTACCACTAAGCTATGTTTCCATTTCCCATTTCCCATCTTATCTCAAATATGACTCCTTTCTGACTCATTATCTGTCATTTTCTATATTATCTTATTATCTCCATTACAGATAATTTTCCAGTCAATAAGGGGAATGAACCCAGGACCTTCACACTGAGCTACATCCCCAGTATTTTTTATTTTTGAGACAGGGTCTCATTAAGGTACTGAGCAGCCCAAGCTGTCCTCAAACTTGGGATCCTCCTGCCTCTGGCTCCCAGAGTGTTTGGATTACAGGCATACACTATCATGCCTGGCTTAGAATATTACAGTTTATAGGTGTGTCATATTTTACTTAACCAATATCCTGTAAATAAACTAGTATTATGTATAAATACATTTTAATGTATATATTAATTGTGGACTAGCCTAATTTTCAAGTTTCACATACCATGGCTTTGTTAATATATCAGTAACTATTAGTAATTTTGTTCTTTTCTTATATATCATTCTTATATTTTACAGAAGATTTGTCTACCAGTATCTCCGTGTCTAATTGTCAGATCCAGGAGAATGTGGTAAGTGATTGTTACAGATAACATGTGCATATTGGATGATTAAGAGAAGGATAATAAAATGTAAAAATTTTAGTAGAGAAATTGTTAGGGCCGACGCCCGCAGGGAAAGAGACCCCAAGGACTCAACTCTTGGTGAGGGAAAAAAGTTTATTTTCATGCGCATGGGGTCCCCCAGGCAAACAAGTGCGGAGGGCCCCGAAGGGGAATTGTGTAGGGTTTTTAAGGGCGCAGGGAGGCAAGCGAATTTACAGAAGCAGATTGCATTGGTTAATTTTGAGCAGGATAGGACTTGGCAGAAGTTGATTGGAGGGGTTTGGGGTTGAGTAACCATGGAGACTGGGGGTCCTAGCCCAGTCACTATGTGCCCAGAACAGAACAGTTACTTGTCTTACTTATCTCGTTGAGACAGAACAACCTTGCAGGTGCATTTTTTCTTTTTTTTTTTTTCTCTGCTCTGATAGCTCTGGGGAGTTAGGCATTTCTTTCTGCTCTGCTCTGATAGCTCTGGGGAGTTAGGGAGTTAACCCTTTTATTCCCCGCTCTGGGGAGTTAGGGAGTTAACCCTTTTATTCCCCGCTCTGGGGAGGGGGTTATAGCAGGGGGGTCAACTCTCACAAAATAAGATCATAGCCCAAAATATCGAGTATTTTGCCTAAGACTTTATGGATAATAACTTCCCTAAGGAGTTCTGCTTGATGGGGGAAACTAAAACATACATTTTAAATCACAGAAATAAAGTTAACTTTTTCACTAGAAGAAATGATATTAAATTACTACAAATTGAAATTAGGATATTACAAAATGATAAACTAAAGAGAAGGGAGAGGCTGCTTGTTACTGGAGGGGAGAGGAAGGAATAGGGATGGACAGCTAAAACGTTATGCGAGACCAGGGAACGGGATAAGCAAATAGAAGGCAGCCATAAATATAGGACTTCTAAGGAATGGTGAGTAGGTTAAGTTCAGCCGTTGCCTATGGGTACCTGTAGGATTTTATAGTAGGTCGGCAAACTTTTCTGAAAAGGGCCTTGTAAGACGCTTTATAACCTACATACGTAGTTCTGGCATTGTAGCAAGAAAGTATCCATGGGCAGTACATAAATGAATAACCATGAGTGACTCCCAGTAAAACTTTGTGAACACTAACAGTGATCTCGTGTAATACTTGCATATCACGGAATACTATTTTGATTTTTCTGGGTCATTTAAAAATTTAAAGGCCATCCTTAGATCAAGGGTGTATAAAACAGAGGTGGCTGGTTGGATTTGGCCCACAAGCCAGCTTGCTATCTTCTGGATTGAAAAACACTAGAAAACAAAGAACATTAGTCTGTAGATTTTCTCTTCATAAAAATTTCTCATTTTTTCCCCCAAGGCACTAGCTTTTATAGTTTTCTAACACACAGTGCTTGGAATTTCTAAGATTGCCATGAAGAGACTAGATACCTAGTATTATATAAGATAGAAGGTTTCCAGGAAATACAATGGGTATCTCTTACCTTAGTGGTAGGTAAAATAGATAACATATTCTTGGGGAGAGAAAAAAAGATACAAAGATGAGAGCACAAACTCTGAATGGTCCCACGGGGGAACACATCTATACTTTTCTTTTCTGGCTTTTTGAGACTAGGCCTTACTATGGTGTTTGGGCTGGCCTTGAACTCACTTTGTAACCCAGCCTGGCCTCAAACTCATGGCAGTCCTTCTGTCTCAGCCTCAGCATGCGCCACCACTGAGAAGAAAAAAGATTCAGATTTGGAGTTTTTTAAGAAACCTTCTCTGGCAGTTATAAATGTATATATGTTGGAATGCCCACTTACCTAATTTGATTGAATCAAAATTTGGTTAAATTTAAAAATTGATTAGTTGAGAAGCATATAAAAATGATTTGTACAAACCTTAAAATTTTCATTATAATTTAACAATATATCTGCCTTTCCGTGGCTTTTGAGGCAGGCCTGAGGCATTGTCAGTGAGTGTGAATCTACCAAGAGGAGTCCCACTTAGTCTTTCTTTTGTCGGTCATCCTTGTGATGCAGTTCTTGCACTGCACACACCTTAAGTTACTGCATGAATATTTTGACAGCAATAAGCACTAATAAAAGAAGGGGAATAAAGTTGGGGGCAGGAGGAGAAAGATTAAAGAGTGATTTTTGGTATAGACTTTCTCTTAGATTTTATAAGTCTTTTAAAATCAGCCTAATTTTAAAATCAGCCTAATTTCAATATTAACTTTTGTGTTTTTCTTTCAAATCAAAGAGGTGTCTCATTACTGATAAAATAGATGAAACATTGTTCTTAACTTTTTATGTTAATTTACTTTTTTTTAGATCACCACTTAATAAGTATGGGATTTTATTTTTCAAAACGTTTTTTCCTAAGGGTCTTTGTATAGAATACTTTATGCTTGCACATTAGCAACATAGTATTTGGGCTTGGCCTTTTCTAGAATAGAGAAGGCTCTGTTTTATAAAATATTTTGTACTTACTGAAAATTGCCTCTAAAAAACTCCCCAAAATGTATTTGAGTCAGAGATATTGACATTGTTTTATAGAGATAAGTAATTCTGCTTACTCTTTGCTGATAGGACATCAGTACTGTTTACCAGATCTTTGCAGATGAGGTCCTTGGCTCAGGCCAATTTGGCATTGTTTATGGAGGTAAGCAGCATCAGCCTTTTCTGTGTTTTATGTATTATGGGAAAACTGTGAAATTTAAAATATCTGTCAGCTATTTTGTCATATAATTTTATCAAGCTACCCTTTTTTTCAAAGGCTGGCTTGCATCCTTTTGACTAAATTCTTTTCATTTATTTCAGCTGCAAGTTTTAAAAAATAACAGTGAAAAAATCAGAAAATTGGTTTTTGTAGTAGTCTTTATCTCCTCTCCTAGATCACATAAAGATGTTTGGTGGGGGAGGTTGAAGTTTTTGCTGGGTTCTGTAGACTTGCTCGTTAAAGGATATTCTCTACTAGTTTTCCAACATAAATGGTACTGTTTTAGTCTGCTTTTGGCACGAGTGCTCCATATGATCCAAATACCTGAAATCTTCAATATGAGGAAGTTTCTTAAACCTCTTGGTGTCTTGATATTTTCATCTGTTTAATAGAGCTAATAAAATTTGACTTACATAGCTCTGAGGACTCTGTAATATAATGTATCTAAAAGTACCTTAAAAGCTATAGTGGAGACAAAAGAAATGTTAACCTTAATGTCTCTTTTCAAGACTTTTAAAATAAGACTCTTCATTGCCTATTCTGCATCCAGTCCTCCCCTTTTTCACACCATTCTTGGAATGAATCTTTCCGGAAAATTCACGTCAGTTACTAGTGTTGTTTAATCATAAAGTACTCCTGTGTGGCTGTTACCTGGAGATTAATGGCCACTACTCTTTACAGGGCATACGAGCCTCTGTGGTTTCTTCTAGCTTCTGATCTCACTACAGTTCCCTCTCTGTTTACTTCTTCAAGACATACTTATATGCTTGTATATTTTGTTCCTGTTCCTACTGTAGTACTTTGTACATCTAGTAAATATTTATTCATACTTGAAGTTCGTACTAAGATTTTCACGTCCATCTCTGCCTTTCAGTCAGGTAAAACTGCTGTTCTATCACTTGGCTTCTAGTGTTGTCGTCCCACTGAACTTTGAGTGTAGAATGAGAAGCATCTGGGTTTCTTTATATTCTTCGTCTATCATTGTCTTTGACATTCAGTAATCACCCAGAAGATTTATTGATTTTACATGCTTATGCAATATAGTGGTGCCTTGGTTCAAAAAATTAGTTCTTTCTCTAGAATTGTGGAAGCAATTAAATTCATGAACCAAGGTACCAAGGTATCTATGACTTTTAAGACTAATGATATCTCTTTAAGACTTCATCTTGAAGTCACAGCTGTCTGATGTACCCTTAGATTCTTACCAAATATACAATTTATCTAGTCTTTTTTAGGAGGCATACTTTTATGATTATACTTTCATGACAGCTGAGTTATTTTCTTTTTTTTTTTTATCAGTACCAGGGATTGAACTCATGACCACTTGCTTACAGGGCAGATGCTTATGCCGCTGAGCTAAATCCCCAGCCCCTAGCTGAGTTATTTTCAAATAAATAGTTATATAGAGAATATCACATCACTTATAGGTTAAAAGAAGTAATATCAAAAATCTGCCTGTTTTTACTGTTCAATCTCTAGCATCTAAAACAGTACTTAATTATATAATACGTGACTATTGATTGCATACTTCCACCTCACAAGCTCTTATATCTACATTCTAGAAGTATGAGGACTGGAGTGTGGGAGTAACTGGTTAATTAATTACCTGAGGATAGCCCAGTGAACATAGAATGAAATTTATTTATTACATAATATTTCCATCTTGATAGTCTCTCAAGACTAGGTCGGGGTATTTAACTGCCATGTATATAACAAAGTAGATTCTTTTCAGCAAACAGGTTCTTTCAAATTTTCTGCCATTTCAAATCATGAAGCTGCCTTCATCAGGGGCAAATACTATCCAGGGAAAATGTAATTCTTAAAGCAAAAAGTGTAGAGAAAGAAAATGAACAGAAGAATGGACCTGAATCAAGGCTGGCAGTTTTCTGAAGGGGGTTTCAACCAGAGGCCTAAAGTAGTGTCTTTTTATGGTCTTTTGGCCATCTCAGAACTTTACTACAGAAATGTAATGGTCAGTTAATTAGAAAGAAACCACTTGCCCCCCAGTGAGCCCACCTCCAGGGGCCCAGAGAAGAAGCATCATCTTGGTGAATCTGTCGCACCTGGCCCAAAGGAGAGGAAACCACACCCCCAGTGAGCCCACCAGTTATGGGCCTGGAGGAGAGGAAGCTACACCATCTGGGAAACATGGATGAGCAGCTACCCGGCACCTCTCAGCCACCCCAGGACTTCAGATCGGAGGAACCCAGGTGCCTAGCTCAGCCCCTGCAGCCAATGCAGGAAACACCTAGGACTCAGCAACTGGCTGATTCAGAGGAACACAGGACAATGTCAAGATGAAGGAGCAGGGTGAAATCTCAGACCTCCAGCCACCCAGAACAAGTCCAGGAGACATACACACAAAAGAAATTAGACGTCACACTCCTGAAGTTTCTGAAATGATAGTAACTGAAGTAAAGAGACAACTTAGTGCTTGTTCTGTTTGATTGACTTTGCATGCCTGTGTCTGGTAGTCTGAGCCTTTATTTAGAGGATAACAATGTGCACTACACTATGATTGATTTCCTACTGTCTTGTTTTTGAAATCTAGTATCATTTCCATTGTTTTATTTCATTTTATTGTTTTGTTTTATTCTCTTTAAAATAAAATAAAAAGACACCAGTACATATAATTTTATTCTATGATCAGCTTCCTAGTAGGGTTTTTTTTATTATGCATAAACTGTCATTTTGCTTCTTTTTATTTTTTAAATAGGAAAACATAGAAAGACTGGAAGAGATGTGGCTATTAAAGTGATTGACAAGATGAGATTCCCCACAAAGCAAGAAAGTCAACTACGTAATGAAGTGGCTATTTTACAGGTAAAGAAAAAGAGCTTCTGTAGACTTTAATTTTATATTTTTATCAGTTTTCGACTCATCTGTTTAGTGTACAAATAAGAATAGATTTGATTTTGATTTTTATAATCACTTGGCTAAGAAGGAAGCGAGGTAAAAATCTGAATTAACTACATAATTCCTTTTTATAAGATTATGGTGATGTAGGTATTAAAAAATACCACTATTCTGTTGAATACTAGTAGCTTACTTAGAATATACTTTGTTTCCTTTGGATTTTTGTTTGTTTGTTTTGTACCAGGAATCAAATTTAGGACCTGATGCTTACTATGCAGATGCTGTGCCACTGAGATATATCCCAATTCTGGAATATACTTTTATAAGTACTGTTTTGAAAAAGTAATAAAATTTCATTCTTAATTCATTACTCTAGTTCAAAATACTTTGATACTCCTACATTTCATTATATCATCACAGTTAATGTGTTAATTATAGCAGTTAGCATAAAGACTGATAAAAAAGATATGCCTTTCAAAAAGTAGAATTCTTTAATTAATTCAAAACCAAAATTTTGTAGTGGTTTAGTCCATAAGGTATATTTTAAGGAAATATTAGCAAATTACTTAAATCCCACAAAATAAAATGTGTTTTTCTTTCATCTTAACATATTTACCTCTGTTGGTAAAATGTTTTTACTCTACTTAGTAAACTAAAATTTAGCTTGATCTTTAATTCATTTGTCAGAATATCATGTAAATATTGATAATATGCAAAAGTATTAATTAATTGTACAGCTCTTGTATATTATTTAAGAAACTGTAGTCATAGAATAGTTAATGCTGTCGGGCTCCCATTTACATGAGGGTGAAATTAAAGAAAACACAGCCTATTGAACTTACGGTTTATTGAAGAAAAGAAAATCTTTAGAAATAAATTGCATTACATTTTTTACATTATTGGTCACAGTTCTAAGCATTTGCCTCATTTTCTCAGAGGAATAATAGTCAAAAGCTTGTGGTCCACAAGTACCTAAGGTCACATCCAACCTGCTTACTTTTATAAAGCTATGTTTAAACAGGATAACAATAGCATTATACTGTTTTAACACAGAACATATTGTTAAGATGTTTCTGCATTTTTAATTTTAGAATCTTACTGTTCAACTAGTGTACAGAAAAAAAATTAAGAATATATTCCTAAGCATTAATTTCTCCTTGATTCTTTGATCACAAATACAACTCTGGACTAAGTACAGAAGCACTTTCTTTTGTATGTTAATTGTAGATCATAACTAAATTTAGGAATTTTCAGTTAATGCAGTGTGAAAAACAGCTACATGCTTCTGCTTATATTCCTTAATATTGTCCAGCTGAAAATAGAATTAAATGATTGTAACGTGTCTCTAAATATACTGTTTTCCTACTAAATAGAATATAGCATTCTTTGTTGTAGATTCTCTTCAGATTGGTTTTTTTTTGTTTGTTTGTTTTTGTTTTTTTGTCTTTTTCGTTTTTATCAGTACCGGGGATCGAACTCATGACTGCCTGCTTGCAAGGCAGGTGCTTATGCCGATGAGCTAAATCCCCAGCCGCCCGTTTTTTTTTTGTCTTCAGATTGTTATATAAACAAATTGTTTATTTAGTAAGTGGCTTAATTTGTGCTAGAATCTGCACTTAGTCTACTTTTTCTCAACATTACCCAGCAGGAACTAGGCAGGTTGGGATTCTGAATCTGTCTCCAAACTACATGCGCCTTTTTGTTACCTTGTTGCACCTATTCTGTGTGTATGCACATGGAATTGTGACTCAGGTGTTCTTACGCAATGTGTGCACTCAACAAAATCTATAAAGATGAACTTCTGCCCTACTTTGTACAGAAATACTGTAATTTTGTTACCACTGTCCCAAATTCACACAACGAATACATTTTTAGATGAGAATTTTTATAAATCATACATTTACTGAAATTAATTCCCCAAGATTTATTCATATAAACATTCCAGATAGACTTTTTCACATGGATCAAAGGGCATGTACTGCTCTCTTACACTCATAGCACCTTTTGGCTTACTGTTCCCCCTCCAACAATATCACTGTTTTTCTGTCTTTACCTGGTGATATTCTTACATTTAGTCCTCATCAAGTAACCTAAAAAGTCGGCTGAACTCCTGTGGCTGACCTTGCTGCTGTTACCTTCACCTGCAGCACCAGTGGCATCCACAGCTTATCTTTTCCATAGCCACATCTCTTTTTTTCTTCTACTTTCTTAAACCTTATTAAGGAAAAAAAGCAGTGGTGGTGGTAAATCTCTAGAACAATTAGTTTTCTAGGATTCCCTCCTCAAAAGTGAGAACTGATTTCCAAATACATACCAGAAGTTACCTAGACCCCATTTGTTCTAAGGTAAGCTGAAGTCTATAAAGTGTTCATCTTCCACTTTTCCTGTCTGTGATCTGTCTTTGGATTAGCAAAGCTACTACAGCTTCATTAATTTTTGTCATTAGGTCTTTGAGTTCTTTTGTGTGTAGCAATTACATAATTAGAACAGCTTCTTTAAAAACTGCATCTCTAATATCATGACCAAGAATGTTTGTCTAAAGTAACAGATAAGCCCTCTTGTTTGATTGGCTTTAGCAACGACATCCTCTGTTAGGTGCTCCAGAAACAAAATGTGTATTGCCGTAGCCTTCAGGTGAGGGAGGGCAGCCAAAGCTGTTACACCAGATTCATCCAGATTGGCCATGGCTCTGCATTCTTAGTTACATTGTCAATATTGTGTATGTGTGTACATGCACGCATACGCGCGTTACCAGGTACTAAATCCTTTATTTTTCGGCATTATCTCCATATTCAAGTCTAACCTCTAAACCGTGAAGCCAGTCACTTGCTTCCTTACCTTCCTGAATCTTGAAAGAATAGTTAACATCTCTGAGATATATTTCAAAGAAGTTGAGCAGTTATTGCTGTGGATGTTTCTTAAATTACCTCTTTGTTCTTATAGTGTCTGGTTGTCTGGTTTTCTGGTTTTCAAGCCAAACAATAAATTTCCTAAATTCTGTTTCGTCTTTGCTTTTGAAGCCAGCAGGATTTTGGTAGCTGTCAGCTTGCTTGGGAAGATGGTCCCTGCTTCTTGCAGAGCAGAAATGAGGTGGAGCAGGTGACTCAGGCACCAGTGACTTGTGCCCACATTTTCTTTTTGCTTTTTGAGACAGTTTTGCAGTGCAGTTCAGGCTGGCCTTGAGGGTTTTGTTTTGTGCCAGGGATCGAACTTAAGACCTTGTGCTTGCCAGGCAGGCAGTTATGCCACTGAGCTAAGCCCCTAGCCCCTTGAACTCATTTGATAGCCCATGCTGGCCTTAAACTAGAAATAACCTTACAGTTTACCCTGAAATGTCGAGCCTCTTCCCTTAAGCACTTGATGGTAGACTCTGTATTCTTATCAGTTAGAAATGAACATATGCCACTTTTGAACACTTGTGATTATAGTTCATTTTTATTATTTACTGCATTTTGTGTTCAGTTTTCACCTTTGCTTTTTTTTTTAAAGAAAAAAATAAAATTTCAAAGACAATTGGGGGTAACAATGGTATACAGATTGCGTATTGTTTCTTCAAATCAGTTACTCAGAGTACAACACATCTGCATTTAATTATCTGAATAATGCTAGCACAAACCTTTCTCTTCAGTGAGCTCAAAGAAATCAATAGTGTAACTATCTTTTAGGTATATAGTTTTTCCAGCTTCTCACACTAGTGAGATAATATGAATATTTAACACATGCACGTCTGATTTATTTCACTCACGAGTGTGGACTAAAATTGCATCCATTTACCTATAAAGGTCTCAAGTTTATCCTTCTTTGTGGCTGAGTAGTACTCCATTGTATAAAAATGCCACATCTTTTTTATTCATTCCTTAGTTGATGGGCATTTAGGTTGTTTTAAAGACCTAGTTTTTACAAATTGTGCTGCTGTAAACATGGATGTACATATATCACTGTGATATGTTTTTAATTCTTTTGGGAAGTTACCCACAAGAGGAATAGCTGAATCAAAACTACAAAACTACAGTCCTAGTTTTTTAAGGAATCTCCTCACTGATTTCTATAGTGGTTACACAAGTCTACCCTCCCACCAGTAGTGGAGAAAAGTTCCTTTTTCCCCACAGCCCATTCAGCATTTGTGATTGGTTGATCCCTTACTTAATAGCCATTCTTTCTAGGATGAGGTGGATTCTCAGTGTTGTTTTAATTTGCATCTCTTGAATGACCAGTGTTGTTGAACATTTTTTTACATATGTATTTGCTGTTTGTATTTATGCATCTGAGAAGTGGGTATTCATCTCAGCTGCTCTTTTTTGGATTGGGTCTTTAAATTTGGGAGGACCAATTTTTTTGAGTTCTTTATATGATCTGGATAGCAATCGTTTGTCTAAGGAACAGCTAACAAGCATTTTCCCACCTTGTGGGTTGTCTGTACTCTGTTGGTGGTTTCTCTTACTGTGCAAAAGCTTTTCAGTAAGATGAGATCCTCGTTGTTGATTCTTTATAACAGTTCCTGTGCAGTTCGGGTTTTGTTCATAAAGTCTGTGCTTACCCCAGTGTCTTCAAGAGTTTTACCTACTATATCCTCCAGTAGATTTATTATTTCTATTTTAATATTTAGATCTTTGATCCATTCTGAATTTAGTTTAGTGCATGGTGAAAGATAGGAGTCCAGCTTTAATATTTGGCATGCGCAGAGCCAGTTTTTCTAGCAGATTATTGTTTATTAAGAGAACAAAAATGTCTTTTAAAGGTTTCCATATAGACACTGTACTCAACAAGTTCAGTCTTTTTTTCCAAATAATGCCCACATTGACTTTCTGTTTCTCAAACATGCCAGACATGCTTCTGTCTCAGTGGCTTTGTATGAGCTGTTTCCTTTGCTAGGAATGCTTTTCCTTCAAATAGCTGCATGATGTGCCCCAAACATCATGTCCTCAGTGAAGCCCTAACATTCTATGAAGCACTAAACCTGCTCTTCCCATGACTCCCTTACTCTGACTCGTCTTCTTTTCTACATTACACTTACAATTCCATTCTAAGTGATTTACTTATTTCCTGTTCTCTGTGTCACTTTGCTAGAATTAATAAGCTCCATGAGACAGAACTTTGTCATTTTTATTAATGAATCAAGATTGCCTGCACAGCACCAAGGCACATGACAAATAATCGTGTTTATGTGTGAAATTATCCACCACATATTACTCAATGCACAGTGATTCTATTTGTGTAACTTTGAAAAGTAATGTATTATATGTGTGTGTACTTACAGCTATAAATACAAAAAGATTTCTAACTGCATAGATTAATAATATAATTCCATCTGGGAAACATACTGTAGGACAAGGAAGAATGAGCAGGGACTTTTCTTTGTTAAATATACAGTACTACAGTGTTTCTTTTGCTGTTCCTGAAGAGGATAGTAGAGTAGTGCGAGAAGATACAGTTTTCTCATAGCTAAATATTTAAACCCATATTTATTTAAATACAGGTTTTTTGGTACGGGGATCCAACTACGACTTTGCATTTGCCAAGCAGGCACTTACGTCGCCGCTCAGCCCTAAAGTTGTGTTTTGTTTTGTTTTGTTTTGTTTTGTTTTGTTTTGTACCAAGAATTGAACTCACGACCTCACGCTTGTAAGCAGGCACTTATGCCACTGAGCTAAATCCCTGGCCCTAATAGCTAAGTATTCAAATGGGGAAATGTTACCAGAAACTTAGAAACTTTCTGGTTTGAACACAATGGTATAAACTTAGAATTTTCTCCTTTTCTTAGAAACCATACCAGAATTTTAAGAATAATGACAAACAAGAGTATAATTTACCTTTAATAAAAATAGAAGAATTCATACTTACAAATTACATAGAATAATTTCCAAAAACAGTGGATGAATTTCGGCACCATGCAGGAGGAAAGGCCACAGTGAAAGTTTTGTTAGTTCTGAAATCTACAGAATTATGATGTCCTCCATAGGTTCCTTTCCTAAACAAAAGAAAGCCAAGAAGATCATGATCCAATAAGAGAGGGAAAACAAGAAATGAAGAATGGCATTTTATCCATAGAAAATTGTAAATCACACTGTAACAAATAATAGTATCAGCATTTATAAAGGAAAGTGAAAGAAGACACAAAAACAAACACAAGCTTATTAGTAGTCTATAACATATGGAGCAAACAAAATTAACTTCAGAGGCTAAACAGTAAGATTTACCTAATGACTGTACATAGAACTCTGTATCCTAAGGAACCCCAACTCAAAAAGCAGAATAAGTAGTATTCTTTGATCTTAACATAATAAAAGCAGAACATCAGTTACAACATTAGAAAACAGCTACCACTAAAAACTTAAAATTATCTTAATTTTAAATCAGAGAAAAATCCAAAGTTAGAATATTTAGAAAATAATCATGAAAATTGAGAGCTGGGGATTTAGCTCAGCGGCATAAGCGCCTGCCTTGCAAGCAGGCAGTTGTGATTTGGATCCCTGGTACCGATAAAAATGAAAAAGACACACAAAAAAATATATATAATAATCATGAAAATCCTGTGTGTGTATATATGTATATAAATATGTATATATGTATGTGTGTATGTAAGAGCCTTTGGATATCATTTCAGAGAAAGATTTATCACCTCAAATATGAAGCAGGAAAGAATAAAAATAAATGAGTTTAAGATTGTAGCTCAAAAAGTTAAAAAGAATGAACAAAAAATAAACCTTAAGGAAAGAGATTAATAAAAATAAAAATGAAATTAATAAAGGAAAAGAATACACTAAATCTAGAAGCTGGTTCTCTGGATTGGTGTGGGGATTTAAAAGTTTTTTAAAAAAATAGATCAAGCAAAGAAAAGTAAAGGAAAATATAACAGCATCTTAGAAAAAAATGGAAAGAGAAAAATGAAAAGCCCATTCTCACCCCTCAGTGCATCCATTTTTCATTCAGTGCACAACTTGGAAAATCTGAATCTGTTACACCCTTTTTTATTGATTGTTTTTCATTTTTTTCCGTTTATTTTTCTCAACTTTTTTCTTTTCAGTAACATGTATCTCATACAGTTGGTTATAGCATGCTAGATATCTGTGTATTAAAACTGTTTCTCTACTTGTTAGTCATTTAACTGTCTTACAATTTCTCCAGAATCTGCACCATCCTGGGATTGTAAACCTGGAATGTATGTTTGAAACACCCGAACGTGTTTTTGTGGTAATGGAAAAACTACATGGAGATATGTTGGAAATGATTCTATCTAGTGAGAAAAGTCGGCTTCCAGAACGAATTACTAAGTTTATGGTCACACAGGTACCTTAGCTCTCCTGAAACTAGAAAATAATTAAAAACTAAGAGAATTAAAAGCAGTGTTTTTACATATTAACAGATTGCGGGAATTGTTAACTTTGAGGATCAAAATAACATTTGTAGCTAAACCTTCATAAGGAGTTTTCACACTATTACCCCTTTCAAGGAGTAACACTGGGGTTTAACTGGTTTTCCAGACATTGGCAAAAAAAAGTTCTTTTGTTCTTTAATTACAGATACTTGTTGCTTTGCGGAATCTACATTTTAAGAACATTGTGCACTGTGATTTAAAGCCAGAAAATGTGCTGCTTGCATCAGCAGAGCCATTTCCTCAGGTGAGATACTCTCCAGAATCATTTTATGTATCTGCAACATTTATAAAGTGCTCACACAATAAAAAGCATTGTACTAGGGGCTGGGGATTTAGCTCAGCAGCATAAGCACCTGCCTTGCAAGCAGGCAGTCCGGTACCGATAAAAAGGAAAAAGACAAAAAAAAAAAAAAAGAAAATTGTAAAAAGCATTGTACTAAGGTTCAGAGTACATCCCATTTTACAGAAAATTTTTAGTCTATACCTGGCAGCGAGGATTAACTAAATTGAAATTTTTATTAATCATATTGTTTATGTTCACTAAGATGTTTCCAGACTCTACATATCAATGAATAACTTTTTGCACTTAACACTTTTTAATTCCCTTCTCCTCGTGGGTTGGGAATGAAGTGGGAAAAATCAGCCTTATGATACTTGGTACTCAGGATGAATGCCTCATAAATTAAAACAAACTGGGAGATGTTATCTGAAATGGAAGATAAAAGACTGAGATAGGTACTCAAGTCATGTTTTCTTTAGGGTACTACAAACATTTTCACCAAAAACAGAGAAATTACATTTCCTATCACCAGGAATGCTCACACTTGTGACAGTATGTGGTGTATGTGTGATATACTCTGATTTTTTTAATTCAGTTGAGTTTCATTTTTTAAAACAATGCTGTCTGTCACCTGGCAAGCACAAGGCCCTGAGTTCAATTCGTGGTACCAAAATATAAAAAACATAAAACCATGCTAATCTTGATCAGCTCAATTTATTTCATAACCTGCTAAATCAAAACTCATTTTTGAAACAACTGTACTGTTTTTATTTTTTAGTACCAGTTATCAAAGCCAGGGATGCTGTATCATTGGGCTACAGTCCCAGGTTTTTTTATATTTTATTTTGACATGGGTCCATGTTGTCCAGGCTGGCCTCAAACTTGAGATCTCCTGCTTCAAGTATCTGGGATTATTAATGGTGTGCATTCACACCTGCTGAAAACAATGTATTTATTCATTTTTTTAAATCTTTGGCTTTTAAAATAGTACTCATGTTGTTAAAGCTTGTGTGACTAAAGTGATTCCTTATCATTGTGACGTTTGAAAAGGTCCCATAATAGTTGGTGCTGTATTTTAAATAAACTGTTTCTAGACATTATCTTATTTGATCTTCAAAATAGAGTAGGCAAAGGATGTACACCCTGTGGCTAAAGCTAGAATCCAACTTCTTAATGTCGACTTTTTGTGATCCACATTGTTCCCATTAGGAGCAAAGGGGAAAAAAATGTTATTTACTTGATAATCTTTTTTGCGCTGTACTTTGTACTTCTTTATTCAGTTGCCAGAATGTTAAATCATCTGTATCAAGATATTATCTAAATCCTGGCATTTAATGAGAAAGAGAAGAAGAATGTTTCTTCAGGGTCTGCACTCCTAGTGTTTAAATACTCAAATAGAGAAACAACAAGTTCAGTACTGACAGCGCAAGTATCTTTCATAAAATCATGTCAGAGTCTGTATCCTGGAAATAGCACTTCTACTTTTTTGTGTATCCCGTTGGTTTACTTGTGCCTACTTTTTCTAGAGGTCCAATCCCTTTTCTGTGAACTTTATGTTCTTTTTCTGAAGCATTCTGAGAGTCAGAGCATTTCTTCAGGAAAGTACTTGGCATTTGCTTATTCAGCAGTCATCAATCACCAAAATCTGAACTTCTACAAAAAAATGGAGGAGTATATAGTAGGGACTGAGGCTGCCTTCACAACTTTTTAAAAATCTTAATGTTTAACTAGCAGTAATTTGTCCCACAGAAATAGAAAACCCTCTTATTCCTTTTAGGAGTCTCAATATATAGCATCCTGGGAGAAAAGTGATCTCTTTACTAGACAAATGATAAAAGATCACCTTCTATTTCTTTTAAAAAAAAAAAAAAAAAACTGAACTCTTGAAATGCCAGTCTGGTAGTTGCCATATTCTGGAATATAAAAGTTTTTGTATTCTAGAAACAAAAGTTTTACTGAAGTAAATATTAGGAAAGCTTTTTATATGTGTTAGTTTCACATAGCTATCAATATATACTCCTTTTGAAAAAGGATATTTCAGATTCCTTCTCTATAATCTCTACAATTAGTACTTATAATTGTATAATTGGTGAGTGTATTGAGATGATCTGATATATTGAGGCCTACTTGCTATATAATTACATTATAAAATTAACATCACCCTTTATTTCCAGGTGAAACTGTGTGACTTTGGATTTGCACGCATTATTGGTGAGAAGTCATTCAGGAGATCAGTAGTAGGAACTCCAGCATACCTAGCCCCTGAGGTTCTCAGGAGCAAAGGTTACAACCGTTCTCTAGATATGTGGTCAGTGGGAGTCATTGTCTATGTGAGCCTCAGTGGCACATTTCCATTCAATGAGGATGAAGATATAAATGACCAAATCCAAAACGCTGCATTTATGTACCCACCAAATCCATGGAGAGAAATTTCTAGTGAAGGTACAGTACATAAAATTTGACAGTGCGCCCTTTAGTCTAAAAATCTTTGTGATCTCAGCCTGTCTAATCTGACTTCTCTATTTAGTTACCAGTGTCTGAGCACTCTTACCTTTGCATTGTTTTCTTTGTAGTTCCCATGCTTAATAGTAATCTAGGGCCAAACAGCCTCATTCTGAAACTACTAACATATCTTTTTAATTGTCATATTAGAGGGATGTCAAACTTTAAAATGTTTCAATGATAAACAGCCCATTGGGGCATGCATGCCATAGGTTCACCATCACTGCATTAAGAGTCTCTTTTCTGGTTCTTCCCAATCACCACTGCCAAATCATCTTCAGGAAGCACTGCTTCATCTTAATCCACTCCCAAACACACAGACACACACAGCCCACAGTAGTGAAGATAGCTACCCAGCACCTTCACATTGAACTACATCCCCAGGCCTTTTTTTTTTTTCTTTTTCCTTTTTATCGGTACCAGGGATCGAACTCACAACTGCCTGCTTGCAAGGTAGGCGCTTATGCCACTGAGCTTAATCCCCAGCCCCCAGGCCTTTCTTTTTTGAGACAGAGTCTTATTAAGTCTTATTAAGACTAGGCTCAAACCTGTGGTCCTTCTGTTTCAGCCTCGAAGAATGCTAGGACTGTGAGAGTATACCACCACACCCAACTTGGCTTCCCTAAAACAATGGTGCATTCCTCACTACTACTGTAAAGCTAAGATGCCTTAATTTGTGATCACCATGACATTCTTCCTTATTGCCCCTCCTCTACACTATGTGAAATTACTTACGCTCATTAGGACTTTTCTTAGTTACTGTTTTGATAATTTTTGTTTTCAGAACAAGATTGTAAGCTCCTTGAATACAGACTTACAATTTAAGTTCTCTATACATAGAAGGAACTTTATATTTGGTGCTGTTCATTTTGTTTTCAGTCCTCATGTGGACCTGTATTGTGAAGCATCATACATTTGTTTTCCCTGCCTGTAAAGGCTTTTGAGTTTGTAACCCCTTGCTTTATACCATCAAGAAAGAATTAGCTGGTGCTCTTTAGTGTATTGTCACTAATAGTGTACCACTTACAACATTACTTAACAGTGCCCTATTGGGAAATATTCCCACCTGGATTTGGCCAGCTTTTGGAACAGGTATACCCTCCCACCCCTTAAAGTACTAGGCCTAATTAGAAGGGGACTGATAAATACCCCCATTAAATTGAGAGAAATTTGATCAAAACTGAATAAAGTTCATGGGAAGCTTTTTTTTTATGTTACCAAAGTTAAATAGGCACCTGGGCCAGGCATGGTGTCACATGCCTGTAATCCCAGCAACTTGGGAGGCTGAGGCAGGAGGATCACTGAAGTTCAAGGCCAGCCTGGACTACTGAGTGAGTTCAAGACAACCTAAACAACCTTGCACAACCTACAACGACCTTGTCTCAAAAAAATAAAAAATAAACACTTGAAATAATGCAAAAGGTGAACCACATTTTAAGGAGCAAAAGATTTCATATTTGAACACAGAGAAATTCATAAAGTACTCATGGAAGACCCTTACTTGATGTATATGGGAGAAATAGAATTAGTATGGTATGTCTTTCATTTGGCTTGTTTGTGGGCCTAGATCAGTGGAAGCAAACTTAAGGTACATGAGCCGCAGCGGGCACACGCAACCCTGTGAGCACACAAGCTAAGTGAATGAGTTGGTTTTTCTAAACTAAAACCTCAGTATTCAGGTTTAGTTGCAGTGTTGACATTTTGCAACAAGTAAGTGGCTGTTGGGGTGCAGCTTGGGCACTCAGTCACTAAAGGGTGCACTTTCATATCCGCGCTTCCAGTGTAGCATGCAGGGTTCGTCAGTGTGTACTTTCATAGTTGCCTTGGTTTTACAGTTGACCCATTTATCCAAATAAGTAATAGAATCGTATGTCGAGGTCTCACTATTTACACTAAAACACCCTGAACATATTTATTAGGTGTAGTATAAACTTCTGATAATATGTTATCACTTCAGGCTAGGGATTTAGCTCAGCAAGGTTGTGAGTTCGATCTCCAGTACCACCAAAAAAGAAAGTTAACACCTCAGTCCAGTCTTATTTGTATATGCAAGACAGTGGCTCTGGCTGCTCTTCCACACTATCCTGGGAATAGAGAGCAACATGGTTATTGTTGGAAGAGATACGTAAGCCTACAATCAGTCTGTTTTACTCATTTGGAAAGAATAACAGTTAATAAATAGCACTTAAATACTACGGACTATTCTAAGTTCTTTACATATATTACGGACTATTCTAAGTTCTTTACATATATTAAGTTGATTTTATCTTTTCAACAAGTCCAGTTTTGCAGATGACAAAACCAAGTTACATCATAGGTCAATAACTGATCCCATATTGCATCACTAGGAAGAATTATACGGTGTTTTAGCCCAGCAGTCTGGCTTCAGAGTGTGTGTTTTAAATCTGTATTCTATACAACCTTCTTAATCAAATGAAAATTTCACAGGCATACTTAATTCAGCAAGCATTAATGGACCACTTTACATGTAGAAAAGTCCACGAACTTGAGAAGCAAAATTTCCTCAATGTTGCATTTCTATGAAGTAGACAACCTGTGGCAGAGTCACAGGTTTGGGGTACTTTATACACCCAATTTATGTATCTAATTTTGTATTTTCCTTTAGCAATTGATTTGATAAACAACTTGCTTCAAGTGAAGATGAGGAAACGTTACAGTGTTGACAAATCTCTTAGCCATCCCTGGCTACAGGTAAAAAAACAAACCTGGTGATCCTTATACAAGCAGCTCATTCATTTGTATGGCCATAGCTCCAGGAGTTGTGTGGTGACTACAGGAACTGAAGCAGTGACTTGGTTTTCTGTAGGCTCTGTATATTAACTTCAGTTTTTTGTAAGATTAACAGGACATACATTTTTATAAACTATATTTTATTTTAAATGTCTGCTTAAAGGTTTATTTTTGTATTGAAAGGCCCTACCCCATACACAGTCTAAACTGGCTTGATCCACCATTACATAGATTTGTCAAAATGAATACAGTTCGGAAACATGTTAACTGAAATAAACCAAACACACAAGCTTAATAATCATGGGAAATCCAGAGTAAAAAAAAGCAAAATAAAAGGCAGATAAAAGAAAACAAGGTGATAGATCTTTGCAGTGGGAAGGGGACCAGGAGACATGGGGAAGCAGTAAGGGGTAGGAGGGAAAGGGATGTATAAAAGAATTACAACATGTGATGTGCATGTACCAAATACCCACAATGAAAGTCGTCACTGTGCCTGGCACACATAAATTTTAAAAGCCTACAAGAAAAACTATGTTTCAGAGTAAGGAGAAAAGCCTTAGAACTATTTTAAAGGGAATGAGAGGGAGAATTAACTACAATTTGGTGTTGGGACTCCCAACAGTACAACACAAAACATTTTAGTGATTGTTAACCCCTTCAGAACCCTGAAACTTGGTTGAGCTGGGTTTGGTGTTGTGTTGTGCTGTGTTGTGTTGTGTTGTATTGTGTTGTGTTGTGTTGTGTTTTGAGACATGGTCTCAGTGAGCAGTTCAGGTTGGCCTTGAACTCACTCTGTAGCCCAGGCTGGCCTCATACTCACTGTGGTCTCCTACATCAGCCTCTTAAGTGCTGGGATTATCGGCCTGTGCCACCACACCTGGCCTGAAACTTTTTTTTTTACTTCATTTATTAGAAAGTATTTTCATTTATTGGAAATAGTGGATTTGACAAAGTGTTTATATTCAACATTGCTAACTTAAAATATTATAAATAGAACTTAAGTATCAAAAACTTAGTGGGAGTTATCAATTATTGATAGTGTGCAAAGTAAAAAAAAAAGGCTGCCAGTGTTCTATTTTTTAGTTCATACACATTACATTTCTTCCTTAGGACTATCAGACATGGCTTGACCTTAGAGAATTTGAAACTCGAATCGGAGAACGTTACATTACGCATGAAAGTGATGATGCTCGCTGGGAAATCCATGCATACACACACAACCTGGTGTACCCAAAGCACTTCATTATGGCTCCCAATCCAGATGACATGGAAGAAGATCCTTAATGATCAGTGAACTAACTTCAGTAAGAGTTTCATCTTATGGACTAAAGTTTTGCTGCATAATTTGTTCCTTGGAGGCTGTCACCTGCAAGGATGCAAAGACATGAGGAAACGTGAGAAGGCACTGGGAGCACCGATACTGCAGTTCATGAGTAGGTACAGGAAGGGACACTGAGCAGAAAGGGATCAAGCAGAAGCGTCTTATAAATTTTGTAGCATAAGCAATAACTGGTTTTGTATTTTTTCTTAATTCTTCCCTTTTAAGAACAATAATGCCATTTAATTTATCTTCCCTTTCCTAATATTACACACTTTTTTTAAAAGGCAAGCTAGCATCCAGTTATTGTGTTAGCATTAACTGTGAGGCTAACAGTATATGATTTACAAAAGAACTTTCTGAATAATTTGTCTAAGTGACCACCAGGATTTTAAAGTTTTTCCTAGATACATATAAGAGGAGCACTGGACTATTTCACCTTTTTATGTCAGACAAGACTCTAAAAACAGTTATTTCTAACCTTTTTTGGAACTTCGACTCTTAATATGGCCTCTGCAACATAAAACTTAAATTATCATCTTTGTGAATCTTTCATGATAGCTAGTAGGATTGGGGATGACTGATATTACAGAGTCCTGTAGAAACTGTCCCTGAGTGCTGAGTGGTTATGTGTGCCTTCTCGTAGCTCAGCTGTGCTGAACATTCATGTTCCCACGGGACACCATCCAGATGCCACACTGTATCCTGACATTCAATGGGTGCATATCTAAACTTCAATTACATAATTTATTTTTACCTAGGGTCAAATAATCTGAGGGGAAAAGTACATACTAAAAAAAAGATCAATGAAAGGCCAGTTAATTCTGCTGTCACTATGTAGCAAACTATGCCTTTATTTTCCCTTAGCCTATTGGAGGACTTTACAATATCTAGAATGTTTTAAAACTATTCAATTTTAAAAGCTATTTGAGGGAGTGGATAGAGGTAGACATGAAACAGTTGGTAAGAGTTGAACTATGTTATCAATATAGCAAATTAAACAATAAGAACTTTTTATATATCAGCTCCAGCATCAAACTATTTTAAAAATATTTACTAATACAGGTTAAGTATCCCTTATGTGAAATGCTTCTAAGTGAGGTAAAAATATACATGAGTGTATTTAATAATTTTAAAAGTATAAAAATGTTCATTTTCCCACAGAATTTGGGAGAACAAAGAAAAGATTGATCTTGTATGTTAACAGACTAAGAATGTCATTAGAGATCCTTAAAGCTATTCATTTAGGACTAAGAATATCCTTAAAAGAGTAATAGAAACATTACACAGTGCCTCTGTGCTTTAAGTTTTTAAATATATTTTAATTTATTCTCACAACAGTCACATTGAAAGTACATTACGAATCTTAGAGATAAGAAATTGAGGCATGGGAGATTAGTTGCTGAGGTTATGAACCCTCCTGGTCATTATGCTACACTACAGACCTCTAGGAGACTTTCCACATATTTCATAATATGTCCTCACGGCTGCAAAGGTATAACCAAATCAATTTTGAGAATCTTTGTTATAAATGGACTTTTCCTGTGATGGACAATGACATCCCCATATTTCTCCAAAGTATGTCTTCATATGAGTATACACAAAGTGGAAAAATTTTTTTGAGTCACTAGGCAACCTACTGGGAAATCCATGCATACACACACAACCTGGTGTACCCAAAGCACTTCATTATGGCTCCCAATCCAGATGACATGGAAGAAGATCCTTAATGATCAGTGAACTAACTTCACTGTGGTTTTACTACATTTGGTGAAAATTAACTGGAATTACGTTCAATTCATTTGCTATACTTATGTAAACTTTACAAGCCATGAAATTAATTGCACTCTTTTTGCTGAATGCCTAAGAAGTTTTTTAAAAAAATTTTTAAAGGCACTGTCAAATAATTTGGAGATGACTCCAGTTTGGAGTTACTCCAGATACTGTATAACAAAATGTCTTGAAATCAAATTGTTTGTGTAACAAATAATTGTTTGCTAGAAACATTTGATAATGTACAAAGTAGTCTATAATGACACTGTTCAGTACATTTTTATATTTTTTGTTATGTGCCACTTTTTGTAAATATTTTCAAAAAGCTTGATAATAAAATGTATTTCTGTATCACCATATTTTTCACATGAAAATCTTGGCCCGCCTGTAACACAGGGATCCAAGGAAAATCTTACTTGTTTGTGTTATTTCGTAAGCTTTGATAACAGAACTATTTTGAAAATAGTATTTATAGATTAAAGTAATGGTATATTTTAAAGCAACTTTATTATAATTATATACAAAATTTGAGGTGATTATCTGAGGGGCTCATTTCTTTAAAGTTTAGAATAATTATAATTGTAAATTTATATTAGTGCCTATGAAATTATTTACAAGTATGTAAATGTAATCCAGCAAAAATAGAGTAACTGTAGAAATTTTCGTGTTCTACTTTTTTTACTTAGTAAGAGCTTAGAGATCTGTCAGACACCCTGTTCAACCTCTTCTTTTAAAATATTCTTATTAAACCAGTCAGTACTCATATGTACTTTTAAAAATAAAAATACAACTAGCTTTATTAAAAGGAAACTCCATTTCTCAGTAGCAGTTAAAGTAATTGAAAACAGGTTTGTACCAAGTTACAACCCTAAAAGTTTTGTGATTTTATTAACACATAACACGGGTTATTTTGGGGCTGGGGATTTAGCTCAGTGGCTCAAGCACTTGCCTGCTAAGCTCAAAGTTGTGAGTTAGATCCCTGGTACCAAAAAAAAAAAAAAAAGTTATTTTTATTGACCATGAAGAGATAAAATACTTTAGGACTTGTTACCTTTAATGTATGGGTATTCCCTTTATTTTGATTTCTTAGGCAGACTGAAGGATAAAAACGTAAAGCTGAAATATCACTGCCAGGCGAGTTCAGCGAATCCAGCCACAGGTGACGCAGAGGGCTTTGACTGGCACGCATTTATTTGGTGACTTCTACCATGAAGTCTCTGATGAGGTAGCAAGGCAAAGAAGAGAAACCGTTCTCCCATCTTCTGAGGGTTCATTAACATGTCATACCCGTGAAGTAACTGCTGCCTCACTGATGGCTCATCTGATTTATCTAAAAGAACCTGAGAAGGAAACACTTCTTAGCAAGAAGAAGGAAGAATCTGTAGGTAGATACTACACTAATGATGACTCTCACATATTCCAATACTCTACTGCTTAAAATATGAATTCTGATTACACACCCAAGGTTCATAGGCTAGTTATTAAAAATGTAGCTTGCTGTAACCCAAACCGATGGTTCTGCATTCTTAGGAATATTTACAGAGTTTGCTCTGTAAATTTAAGTGTCCTTGGAAGAACATTAGTAACATTCATACCCATGAACATGGTTTTTTTTAATGAATAAGCATTACTGTTAGGAAGCATTTATTCTACCTCTCCTGAAAGTTACCAGGCTGTGCCAGCCTCCAGCTAGCATCTGGTTACCCAAAACCCTACAGGACTGAAAAGACTAAAGCACCAAAGCTCTACCTGACCAGACGATTCTTATTTTTGAAATACTATGAAATTAAGTATTTAATGATAGTGAAATAAACCATTACCTTCAACCGGACATCAATTCCCATATTTTTTAAAAACACTTGTTGTTCTATTGGACCCAGAGAAGCTACTTTTCCTTGTGCCATTCTGCGCAAGTAACTGAAGTCCACATCAGCTGTTAGGTCTGCTGTTCCAGGAGCAGTTAAGACATCATGAAGTTTGTGACCACAAAATCCCTTAAACATAAAAGTTTTTACACATTTATAGCTATCTTTATTGAGACCAAAGAAATGCTTTCTTATCAGTACATATTTACATGCAATCATTAAAAAGGAAATAGGGCCTACATCTGTGATGTAGACTATGCAGTAGTACCTTTTTGCAAAGAAGGTGGTACATGGAAAACCCAATACAAATTGCAAAAGTGGGGAGTGTCTCAAAATGCTGACCATAACAAAAAGTTATTTAACATTTTCATTCATGTTTGTGGTGATGGAATACAGATGATGTTATTTATTCTCCCACTGAATTTAGGTAATCAGAACCTAGGCTGTTTTTGTAGAATCCTAGAATCAACTAAACGTGTTAATAGACTTCCTCCAAATGTTGATCAAATCCCAGAGGTAAAGCCAGAGATCAACATTTTAAACCAACTTGAGTTATTTGTAGTGACAATAATAAAGTTAGAATTAACCACAGATTTAGAAAGTGATGAACAGCATCTAGTTAAATGTATTTAAGTTAGAGAACATTCAACAAAATTGACCATATTCAAGGAACATTGATAAGAGTATGTTGAAAGATAAAAGGAATACATGTGGAAAAGGAAAAACATGCTAAGACTATGACAGAATGTTTGAATCCACAAAGTAGTAAGTACCAAAAGTAATTATAAATGTTCGTGACAGGGCCATAACTCGTATATCTTGTGGCCAGGAGGCTCTGATTTAATTTATAACTCACTGTCAGATGGCTCTGATTAATTTTATTAAAAAGACCAATAAAAGTGATCAGATTCATTTGTTACCACCAGTGGTGTAGGCTACCAGTGAGATAGTCATGTATGTTAAATAAAGGCAGGGCTGAAAAATAGAAGAAACTCTTTCCATTTGCATTACTCAGATGCTTACTAGGTTCTGCAGCTACAGAAGAATTTAAGAAATTCACAACTTGTTCAAAGGACAGTTGAATGCTGGCCTTAGAAACTAGATGTAAGGTTACGGGTAATTGCAACAACGTGAATTAATAATAAATTTAAAATATACCACAATGCTTTATGTATTTCTTTTTCTTTGGAGGCCACCTTACATAGTAGTGCAGGCTGGCCTTTAAGTCCTGTGTATCCCAGGCTGCCCTTGAACTCACAGTATCCTTCCCGCCTCTGCCACCTAGTGCTAGGATTACAGGTGTGCGCCACCGCCTCTGCCACCTAGTGCTAGGATTACAGGTGTGCGCCACCATGCCTGGCTTTAAATATACAACAATGCTAGGCACTGTGAAAACCAAAACTAAAGATCTTCAGTGAGTTTCAAATCTAACAGTGAAACCAATCAGTCCGTTACTGGGTTACACGTACTCTGAAGGTGTCGGTCTTTGTCCCGTCGTGACCATAATCAGCAATCAGTGCAGCACCTCCAGTGAGCATAATGCGCTCAGAGAGCTCCTGAATGATGACCCCAGCATCAGGACACACTTCAACGTGATCCCTCGTTTCATCATGCTAGTGAGGGGGGAACAGTTGGAAGGATCAAAATATATCATTCAAAAAAACTTTCCTTAAGGTTTTTCGTATTTCTCTATAATAAGCATTTCTTAGTTATAATAAATTCCTTTTCAACATGAGCATTTCTCTATTCTCACTGTTTCACATGACATTCCCTTAATAATGTAGATTTCTTTGATTCTCTGATGCTATCCACTAACTTTGCAGATATTTTAGCATCTTTTATACAAAGGTATATGCCCTCAACCCCTTCATGGCCAAGTGCATTATTTATTTTGTTTTTGAGACAGGGCCTCACTGTATAATCCAGACTGGCTTTGAGCTCACAATTCTCCTGCATCAGCCTCTACAGTGCTGGGATTACAAGTGCATGGCACCATACCTAGTTCACTTTATTATAAAAGTACTTCCATATAGTAAAAACAAACATCCTACTGGGTTGGAAACATGAGAAAGGGATTTCTGTCTGCCTAGAAAAGTGCCTCAAGTGCCCAAGTACTCAAAAACTTGGTCAGAAAGAACAAAAGATAAATCCAATATAACAAAACAGATCCTGTTAAACGTATTATGATGACTTCTGCTGGAGCACAAAGAATACCAATAATACGCTTGTATCTGAAAACACCAGCTTCTGAATTAGTACCATTGCACCTGAGACTCATTATCCACAGTGTCCAACCATGATGTAAGGGTCCACTAGATTGGGGTCCCCTACTATCAAAAGTGAAGGGACAGTAAATACTAATACTTGTCAATCTGACTGGCATATATGAAGTTTTACTGATGCCTGAGATGACTGAAAATGTGACACTTTTTTCTCCCTGATGAAAACACATCTCTTGCTCGCTCGCAAAACCTCTAAAGTGAAATAAAGGCCTGCTCTAATGTCTATGCCTATCACTGCACAGTCAGTAAGAGCTGAAGTCAGATGTACAGTTGAACCTTAGCTCTTCCAAGTGCTTACCAGTATACAAGTTACTCAACCCAAATCTTTTTCCTCCTTTTTTCTGCTGTGAGAATTAAATAAAATAAGCCACTTAGTGCATGGTGGTACATTCCTATAATCCCAACACTCAGGAGGCTGGGGCAGGAGGATCACTGGAGTTCAAGGCCAGCATGAGCTAGAGTGAGTTGAAGGCCAACCTGAACTGTGCCATGAAACCTTGTCTCAAAACAACAACAACAAAAGCCACTTAGCCCTAGTGCTATTAAATAAATTGCATTGTGGTATAACCATAAAAATCATTAAGCAAGCCTTTTCAGGCACCAGCTGACAAAGCACAGGTTAATACCTTAGACTGCTCTTCAACAGCAGCAGCATCATTTCAAGCAAAAAGGAAAATTCAAGCAAAAAGGAAAATTCACCCCCTTCTAAGTGAATGCCAGTCAAGTCAGGAACTAAATAAGCTCCAAGGAATGGAGGGGGGAGCTTTATAAATCTGCTTGACATTCAGGTAAAATTAGGTAGAATATAAAAAAACAGAAATGTTCACAAGTGTTTACTCTGATATTTTAACTTATAGTCTGAAAAGAAAACAATTCATGAGTGTATGCTTGTGCTTTTGAAACTGTTAACTTCTACGGTAAGCAATCCTTAATTAAGGCCCAGAAAGTAGAAAGTTTTCCTGCAGTAGGAAAAATAAAAAAGAATAAAAAGAAGTGCTCTGAAGCCAAAATACTTCTGAGAAACACACAGTATTTTGGGACCTACACAGAAACCCGGGGTAGGCAGGCGCCTACAGTTACTCCCTGAGGAGTAGAGAAAACAGCAGTCCAGCTGTCCATGGGCAGGACACAGAGAAAAAGTAACACCCAAAAGGAAAGAAAGAAAACTTGCCTAATACAGTTGCCTTGAGAATGAAACAAGAAAGTACAAAGTAACACACAGCGCCAAGTAAGTTTGAGCTCTCACTATAACTTTGCTGCCACGAGGAGCTACAGCGCCTTCTTAGGCGATCTGTAAAAGCTGAAGGTATCTTCATCGTTCGATGTCAGGCAACAGAATACAAAAGTAGGCAAGGTCTTAGCTAAATAAGTGCTTCCTAGCTTTCTCATACATAACATTAAGGTGACAAACTTAAGAAATGATTTTAACCTCTTTCTTGAAATTAGATCTTTTGTATTTTTACCATCAACAAAAAGCACATAGAATGTTGCCAACAATTCTCCTGGTTAAAGGACCTCAAATAGTAACTCAAAAAACAATACCTGAATGCTCTACTAGCAGGAAGAGAAACTTAGAAGAAACAATATTCCTACCTGCAGAAAAGCTTCTGCTGGGGTGACACAAGGCGCCAGAACAAACCTCAGTTTATCAGAAACTTGTGGATCAATATCAATGAGGATTTCTCTCCATCCTTGGGGTGTTTTCTAAACGAAAATAACATGAAAAATTTTTTTGCAAGTTCTCATAATTGCCTTCTACCAAAAATACTATTAACTTTTTTCTTTGCACATAAAAAACATTTACAGAGCACTAAGTAATTTTAGTACAGAAACAATATGAATAAATTGATATATGTAAACAATACTGTAAGGAAAAAACAATACATAATGGAGCTACAGAAGACAAGAAAATCAAAAAAGCAGTGTGGAGAACAAACGCAGATGCTAATGAGAATTGCTCTTGCCTTAAAAGTTACCAGCAGACACACATTACCAAATCTTAAGATTCGAAGAATGAGAAAATAAAAATGTTTAGAATTTTTAGAAATTTGTCAAAATAAATTCTTTATACACATGACAGTCATTTACCATCTGATGTTTACCCCAGAAGAATTAAGAATTTCTCACACTTTTTTATTAGTGCCCATTGGTTATGCGGATTAACGGGTTCCATTTGGGCAGATTTGTATGCGCACAGAACATACTTCGTTTCCTCCCCTTTTGCTTGCCCCACACTCCCTAGCTTCACATGGGAAGGGGGAGTCAATGTGTACAATCCTTTTTGATCATATTCATACTCCAAAGTAGCAGCACGTAAAACCAGCATTAAAAGGTCAATAACTTTTCCATTCACCAGTAATGAGAGAGAAATCACAAAACAATTCCATTCACAGTAGCTTAAAAAACCTAGGGTTCAGTCTAACCCAGGGTTTAGTCTAACCCAGGAGGTGAAAGACCTCTACTATGAAAATTTTAGAACACAGAAAAAGAAACTGAAGACACTAGAAAACAGACCTTTCATGTTCACAGACTGGCAGAATTGTTTAAAAGGCTATACAGTAGTACTAACTTGACAAAGGCAATCTACAGATTCAGTGCAATGTGTATTAAAATACCAGTGACATTCTTCACAGAAGAATTAAGAATCTTTAACAATTATTCCAAGAACATCAACACTTGTAGCTAATATTCCATTTCACCAATCAATAGCTAAAAATTATTCAAGTAAGGTTAATAAATTTAAGTACTCTTGTGTGTTCTGAGTACAAACACAATGTTCACCAATACCTGAAACTTATGCACAGGAAGAACATCAAAAAATTCATGTGCAAGAAAAAAGCTGTACCCTATTGAAAAATAAAAGAAAAAAATTAATGGTTCGGCATTTCAATGCAGATAAGTCTTTAAAACATAAACTGTAAAAAAGGAAATGCCTGACTATTCAGTATTGGACCCTGGATGCTTCCACAATGATCACCACCACAGAGATCGCCTGTTCTTCATGGAAAACTTACTCTGCAGAACGTATGAAGGAGCAACTATTACTAGTCTCATTTTCTACATTATGGCGTCTGAGAACTGCAACGGCTGAATTACTGGCTAAATCTAATCACCACTCAACCTGAAAGAAATGAGACACACCACATTTATTTGTTAGCTCCCCTTTGGAAGGCAACCCAAACTGCAAAAGCAGCTGAGCAGGCTGCGGCTGAGGGACGGCTTTAAGCATCTTGCCCAGGATCCACCCCACTTAGTGTGAGCGTAGATTTATCAGAGATTCTTGAGTATCACAGAGTTCACCATACCTCAGACAAGCAGTCATTTTCAAAAAAGGAAGTACCTAAATCTTTCTACTAGCACTGCGTGCTTCAGCCCTTGTTGCTGTGGGCCGCTTCATCATCAGTATCATCCTAGCTATATGGAAATACTAAAAAGTACAATGAATATTTAAATTTTGGCTATTTGGTTTTGCTTTGCTATTTGTTTATCTAATACAACTACATGAAATACATTGCTCCTTAAAGTAAGGTAACTCTGTCTTCTATTACAAAGATCTTTTCTAGGAAAAAATGTTAGCTACTCTCTATGGGAATAGAATCTGGCACCAATAATTTAATATATTAAACTGCTGTAAATTATGGTCAGTGATCACTACTATGAGGTTGTAATTAAAATTCTTTGATTAACCAATGTGAAGTAATTACCTTTTGGAACATCCTGTAGATCGCGGTACCAGGATATTGGGAGCCCAGACTTTGAAACACCTTTCATATACACTGGAGATTCGGCATTTCGCTCTAATGGGATCTTTGCTTCAGTCAGTGTTGATGCTTGAAGATCACTTAAATTTTGGCTCACCTCTACCAAGTGTATTGAAATATCACAGTTTTTTAGCACGGATCCAAGCTGACTAAACACCTAAAGACAAAAAGAAAAAAATTAAGGCAAAATGCGATGTGTTAAAACTGTGTTAGGTGTTCTAACCATCTACTACATTAATTCAGTCAAATCACAATATGTGCTAAGATTTGCTCCTGACGTAACCCACTCTCCAGTCAGTAAGAATCACACCAATTAGAATTACAAAGCATAAGCTCAGGCAGTGGGGCAAACCTATGGCAGGCAACGTGCACTGCAGTGGGCTGTTTGCATCACTGAAAGTTCTAAAAAATTTGCCACCACTGAGCTAAGAAATAAACAGTACAATTTGGTTGCTTAATGACACATTATGATTAACAAATGAAAATAAAAAATTTTGCATTCAATAAAAATTTCAGACTGTAAAGCCTAAAAAAAGACAAAGAAAATAAAATTTATAAGGCCTTGGTTTTGTAAAGTCTCTATGTCTATGAAATAATCTTATTTTGGGGATTATTAAACTGTATCCTAAAGGAAATAAATTTGAATGGCATTAATAACCTGGTGGCTTACATTTGGGACTATACCACATTTTAAATATTTTTAGCTATATTTTTTAACTATTGTAAACATTCAGGGAAAAAAGGAAAATATTAATAATTTATCAGTCTTTGAAGGCTAAAATTCATAAAGTATCAGTATTTTTCACTTGAGTTTTCATTGGTGATGTCTCCTATTTTTGAGATACAAATGTGTACATACAGATCAATCAAATGAACATGATGTTCCCAAACTCACACTGGAGATTAAACCATATATGGAAAAATTTCCCAAGAAAAAAACCTCAAAAACAGGACTGAAATACTTGTTTTGGAAATTTTGTTTACACCCCTTTAAATTTTCTGGTTCAAAAGGGTCTTTGTGAGTTGATCTAGAGAGACATCTTAAAGGTTGTGGGCTTAAATTTTTTCAAGTACTTGGCTAAGGAAATATTATTTTAAGAACTTTTTAAACTATTTTAAATTCAGGTAGTTTTGCCATAAAATAGAGCCCTAAAACTTGAATCAGTGATTTTTTTCTTTTGTTCTTTTCCAAGAACAATCAGGATTCGTATTTGTTAGATGCTTATAAATTTTGTTTTTTAAAAAAACATTCCCAATTTGAGGCAAAAGTCATAGAGCATCAAGAAAATTAAATATGATCTGCAGATGCAGCTCAGTGGTGGAGCATTTGCCTGGCATGAGCAAGGCCTTGAGGTCAGCCCTGAGAGCTACCGAAAATAAAAAAAAAAAGTTTTCGAATGTCTTCGTGTTTTTATCAAGACTTGCCAGATACATACAAAATAAATTCAAAATAAATTCAACATAGTGAAGACTACAAAAGTGAAATAAGTAGTACTATTTATCAGGTACTATAGTCTCCTTTTAATGTTTTCATGAAGAACTAGATAGAATGACAGAAATAGACAGAATGATAAAATATCCACCATCTGCTCACCAAAACAGGAACGACCTGTGCTCCAGTCATGTCCTCCCCTGCATGCATCAGACACACCATTCTAAATTCCACATTAGCCACTTCATGACTTTAATGAATATTACTAAATATACATCATCAAATGTATCTTGCTTACTGTTGACTTTTTCAGATTTTATATAAATACAATCATAAAAATTCTTTTGCAACACTATTTTTACTCAGTATTTTTGTTTCATGTTGAATACTGCTGCATGCTGCTGGCTCGAGCATTTTTCAGCACTCGGTATTCTACTGGAGGCTGTATCACAAGGACAGGAATCTGGGTTTCTGTTTTCCCAAGGACAGGCATTTGGGTTGTTTCTGTTTGTATGAGTAGCAGTAAAAACTGCAGATTCATACAACATAAGTAACCTGAAAGTTAGCAGATAATGCCCAATACCTTCTCAAAGCAGCTGTGCCAAATCCCACCTGCACCAGCAGCATATGACACATGCCACTGCTCCACACACCCTGCAATCACCAATCCTTTGTGATGTCAGACTTTTTATTTTTCTCCAGTCTGATAGTTACAGTGCTATGTCGCTGTGATTTTAATTTCCATTTGTCTATGAGAAACTGGCACCATTTTGTTTTTATTAGTCATTTGGATTTTCTCTTTTGGGAGGTACCTATTACATCTTCAGCTTGATTTTTCTAATATTTGTTATCTTCTCATTGATTTAAAGGAGTTCTTTATATATTCTACTATTTTTGGCTATATATGTTACAAGTTCTCCCACTCTGTGACTAATCTCATCACTTCACTGTGTCTCTAACAAACTAAAATCTCTTAATTTCTGCCAAGAACAGAAAGTTCCTAATTTTATTTTCTTGAAGTTAAATTATTAATCTTTTTCTTTATGGCTTCTGCTTGACATAAACAAAACTTTACCTACTGAGAGGACAATATATTGTCCTAAAATATTTTCTAAACATCTATAGTTAGCTTTTATATTCGCTACACATGTACAAACACGCATATGCACATACACACAGTTTTAAGCTTATGAACCATAATGAGAAATGAACCATTACATTTTAGCGGAGAAACATAAGGATTGCAGAGATAGAACTGAAAGCCAAGAAAATGAATGAAGTTAGCAAGCTCAGAATAAGACCAATAAGACTTACAGACATTCTTTTATCACCTACCCTCAGAATATCTCCCATGAGGGTGCCCCGCCCGGGGCCCAGTTCCACCAGCTGAAAAGCTGCACTTTTCCCAGCCGCCATCCATTCACTAATGAACCATATCCCTAGTAGCTACAACAAGGAAACACACACATTAAAATATCATAAAGTACAAAACTATATCGTAAAGTCCTAAATAAGTACACTTTATGCATAAAATATTTGCAAATAACTATATGTGTATTATGTAATATGTACATAATACACATACACACAGAAGAACTTCAGTAGTAACTATATTACAACACGCACCATACAGGAAGCTTAACAATAATTTTATCCTTTTAGCTCCACCATGAGATTTTTATTGCAGAAGAGAGAGAGGAGAAGAGAGGCGGAGCAGAGGGTCATGGAAAGCCTCTGGCTGAGTACTGATAAGGACAGGAGGACAGAGAAACTGCCTAAGACCAGAAAAGGTCCACCAGGAAAGACGGGGTGAGACAATCTCGGATCTGCCACTTCTATAAAAATGAGCAGATAAGAGCGTACCACTTACAAAAAGGTACTGCTATTTGGAAGTAAACAGACATATGAGATGGGACTATGCCATTTCTTTATATTCAACTTAAATTACACGATTCTTAGATACAACTAGTATTTCTTATTAACCTGGACTCTACTTCCTCTTGTGTATACTTTCCTATTTCTAAATCATCAAAGGAACTTATGTGGAGATAACTAAAATCCTGCTCTTTAAGGGGACTTCTAATGTAGCTATCATCAAATCACGACTACGAACTCCAGAGCTCAACTTGATTTCAGTAATCCTTCAGTGTTCTTTTTAACCTTTTCTCCCTCTTTTCTTCCACTCTCAACTGCATCTGGTTCTTCTCTTTTCCAATTTGGTGGCTTCCATTTCTACTTCTCTTTATCCTCTTATCATCTAATCCCTTCCCTATAATCAAGTATAAATGTTTCAAATGTCTTCTCTACCATTTTCCTGTTTCCTCTCTATTCCCTCTAAAAAATTAAAACTTTTGATGAGTCACAAAATAAACCCTGTAAAACACTATCCTCACTAACAGGAACTGATCTGCTCTCAAATGTTGACGACGTTACTGTTTGTCAGTGTACGTAGGGTGTTACCTCTCCAAAGATCTGACTTATTTCAGGTGAAGTAATGAAATCTCCTTTTTCTCCTAGCATATCACGGTGCATATAATATCCCTAGGCAAAAGGGAAAAAAATGGGGAAAAATTAATTTTCAAATAAGGTTTTTTCAAACAGTTCTCAAAATCTTACATAAGATATACAATGAAACATTTAGAATGAAAGCTCTCTCCCCTAAATAGGCAAGATAAAGACAGTGTCTTCACTTCTTTTACAAAATAGGAGTCAGTTTGCTACACTGATAGGAAAAGTTACTCATCAGTGTCAGCCCGAGGAGCCATGAAATGCTCATCGCTGCCCTCCTTGCCCTGCTCACAACTCAGCCCCAGACCCCACCAAGCCTCCCAGCCTCCTCTCCCAAATCAGCCCAGCCTGCTGATGATATTCTGTTTCTTTTGTTGTTTTCTGAGATGGGATCTCAGGTTGCCCAGGCTGGCCTTGGACTCCAGATCTTCCTGCCTCAGCCTCTGAAGTACCTGAGATCACAAGCTTGTGCACCAGGGTCAACCAATGTTCTGCTTCTGACCTTGGCACAGATTACACGAGTGTTCACCCTGTGAAAATGCACTCAATGGTACACTTGTGACCTATGCACTTTTCTATATGAGCATCATGTCACAATAAAAAGCTGGGTTCTTTTATAAATTAGCCCTGATGTCTACACCTCTATGCTATTCCAAGTTCTCCCTTTTTGTATCTTGCTCAAAATCATACTCATCCTTTGAGTCTGCTCAAACGCCGCCTCTGCTGACCAAGTCTTGCTCAGTCCTCTGACCTAAGACTAAATCCAGTGCACCTTCTTCTGAATTCTTCTTCTTCCTGTATCTGTGTTCTTCACAAGCAGCAGTAATTATTTGGGGGAGACAACTATGTTTTATTTATTTTCACATCCCAAGTTTTAACCTATTGGGTCATTTTCAAGAAAGAATTTCCAGTTACAAGCTTCTCCCCTGCTTCTCCAATACCTTACGCTACCACCTCGTACTCGGCAGGTGGCCCTGGGCTCCCACCCTTTGCAAAACCTGAAACACGTTCTCAGCACCCTGCCTTCCTGGCTTCCACCTGCTCCCCCACTCTGAGACTCGAAAAGCTAAATACCTTTGCGATCTCTCAGTAGACCTAATGGCACTGACTGCCTGCAAGGCAGGCACTTACGCCGCTGAGCTAAATCCCCGGCCCTGGGCTGCCAGTCCTTACCCAGCATCTCCAGGCTGTTTTTATCAACCCCTATCTCTTACAGCTTCAACTTTTCCCTTCTGGCATTAGAAACAAACTCATTCTCACCTTTAAACAGAACTTTTTTTCACTACACATAATATTCCCCTTCTAAGGGGTGTAAGACTTTGCTTCAGAAGTAGCATTGGCGCGGGCACTGAACCACTCTGGTAGTAAAGTGAAGCCCATAGTGGTAAACCCTTCATTGAATTTTAAATGCATCAGTTTTTTCAGGACTCAAGACTGAGTCTCGGGTCTTCACAGTAAGCTACAGCTCTAGTCCATTTTTTTTTTTTTTGCTTTTGTTTTGAGACAGGGATTCCATAAACTGCTAAACGGCCCTGGCTGGACATGAAGTTGCAATCTTCCTGCCTCAGCCTCCCAGAGTGCCGGGATTATAGGGATGTGTCAGCTTTCCAGGTTTTTTTTTTTTTTTTTTTTTTTTTTTGGTCTTTTTCCTTTTTATCGGTACCAGGGATCAAATTCAGGACTGCCTGCTTGCAAGGCAGGCGCTTATGCCGCTGAATGAAACTTCCAGCCCCTAGCTTTCCAGTTTAAATGTACAGAATTTTAAACACACAGGATTACAGAAGAAATCAATGAAAAAATACTTACTGAATATTTAAAAATATGTCTTTACTGGTATATTAAACAAAAATCAAATGAAATACTCAATGATTAACTGTTTTAAAGGATAGGTATTGAGGTTTTTGTAATCATTTGTAATCATTGTACTATGATAACAACAATATCTGTTATCTCCACTAATAACAAAGTGCTAAGTATTAGCTGGGTATGGTGGCACATATCTTTAATCCCAGCAGTCTAGTAGGCTGAGGCAGGAGGATAGCAAGTTCACGTCCAACCAGGGCAAGTTAGTTACTTAGTGAGACCTTATCTCAAAAAGTTAATAAAGTTTACTAATGTACTTCAATGTGAAAGCCTTTGGTCTAACCCTCAGTACCACTGAAAGGGGAAAAAAGATATATGGACAAAGTTCTTTGTTGTTGCCTTTGTTTATAATTATAAAAATGCTAAGTTTCAATTATGAGTTTATGAAAGAAGTAATTTTTTTCAATTCAAATTCACAATCCCTTGGCATTATTCAAGGTTTAGGTTAGGAGTCTCAAACTAAATGTTGAAGTTACCCAAAGTCTTAACACTAGGAAAATTCCCTTCTCCGTGTACACAATCCCCAGTTCCTCAGTCTTAATCACCATCTACACACTGCGGAAAACCAAATTTATATATGCATACCCAATCTGCTGCTAAGCTTCAGAAACCTACGGCCAGCTGCTACTGACCACCTCCACCTGAGCATCACTACGTATGTAAGACTCAGGTCCTAATTAGATGGTTTCCCAGATGCCTCCAAACCTGGTTCTCCCTGTCCTAATTGTCTCAAAGGAAAGTACAACCTTCACCCAACTGCTCAAGCCAAAAATCTAAGAATCAGTCTTGATCCTTTCCTCTCCTTCACCCTTCCACTTATTAGCAAGCTTCATGAGTCCAAGATCTATTTCTAATTCCTTTCTCACCTCACCTCTAACCACACCAGTCTAAGCCACCTACCTTGTAGCACTGCCCACAAACATTAAAGTGCCCCTGCCCGTAGTAAAACTCTGGACACTTAAATCATTTCACCACCTCCAACAGGAGTAGGCCAAACCATCCCAGAATACCACAGATGTCATATTTAACCTAACAAAAAGTGAAATACTGTATAAAAAACTGTCACCAAACTACTTTGTCGAGTGGACAAGGAACTGTGGGGCAGAAAGCTATGACAGTTCTGAACCCTACAACAAAGGCATAGACTCTGTTCTCAAGAATAAAACGCTGATACCAGATGTGGTGGTGCATGCTTATAATCCCAGCACCCCCGAGGCTGAGGCAAGAGGATCACTGAGTTCGAGGCCAGCCTGAGCTACATAACTAAGCGAGTTTTGCAATCATATAGTGAAAACCCTGTCTAAAAAAAATAAAGAAAACCCTTACATGCTTCCAATGCCCACTGAAGTTACTGACAGACATTTTTCTAGGCAATGAATTTTTATTTCCAGTTGCCTACTGACAACTTCCATTACCCAAGAATTCCCCGTGTACATCTGAAATGTATACATCCATCCCCTACCTCCTAAAAAGGCTCTTTATTTGTTTGTTTTTGAAGCAGGGTTTCACCGGTTCAGGTTGGCCTTGAACTCACTCTGTAGTCCAGGCTGACCTCGAACTCGCTACGATCCTCCTGAGGGGCTCTGCTCTCTCCTGCATACCCTTCTGCCTAACAACCACCCCCGCCGTCCTTCCCTCAAAGGCTAGTTACCTTCCGTCTCCTAGATGCCTTGGGAATCTGTCTTCTCTACCGGCACTAGTCGTGACCCACTAAAGATTCAACTATGCGTCCCCAGGTTGCCCTAGAAGAGCTTCGGGCTTCTCCCTGTTCACACCCTCTCGACACCTGCACCTCGTACACCTGCTAGAGCGGGCCTGCAGGACCCCGACCCATACCTTGGCTGGGTTGGTCAAGACCTCCTTCATGTACTCCGCCACTGTGATGGGGCCGGTAGACTTTATTTTGTACATAAGATGCCGCAGCATCGGTGTCACCCGGTTGTTTTCTGCCGGTTCATCCCCAGAACTGAAGTATTTCCCTCTCCAAGTACAGGGAATGACTGAAAAACACAGATTATGCAGGCATTTACAGGTACAAGCATCCTAAGTGCTTTCCAGGAAACTTCGTTCATCCTCAATTTCGCCCCAAGCCCAGAACGCGGACAGACCCACGCATTTCACCCAGGAAGCGCAGAGAAGGCAGCACTGCGCCCACGAACACACAGCCGCACGGGGCCTGCGGATGGACCCCAGCCGCTAGCGTAGAGCTCCTCGGGCTGGAACTGAGCCCCAGACGGAGAAACTGTGAAGGTGATCCAGGCGCTTCCCACAATTGGGTTCTACCGAGAGGACCCTTACCCGCGCGAGCCGCGCAGCACAGCTGCCGGGCGGCGGACCTCACCAGGACACCCATTCCCGCTACGAAGGCGGCACAGCACTGCCCCGGGGGCGGTGACTGCGACCACTTCCGGTAACGTCACGTCGCCGACGGAAATGCGTCACGCTCCGGGCGGAAGTGAGCTGTGGCTGTGCGCGCGTGCTTTTATGAGCCATGGCTGCGGCAAAGGAACCTTTGGAGTTTTATGCCAAGCGACCCCGACCCCAGGAAGACGTGTTCGAAGATTCGGATGAGGATGATAGCGGCCAAACCAAGGATGGGTTCTCCTTGGAGGAAGTGTTGCGGCTCGGAGGCACCAAGGTATGGGCCACAGGCTCCCCTCCCGAGAGAAGGGGGACAGGCGGCGCGCTCTACCGCGGGAGAGGATAAGCGTGCGGGACTCGCATCCTAGCCCTGGAAAGTGCTTGCAGCTCTTGCTGCAGTTTTTCTGCTGCACTTTACAAAAGTGCAAAAGTTAGAATTGAACGTTTTACGCTGTGACCATCTTTAGGAAGTAGGCGAGATCTTCCTTACTGTATTGACCTGTCATTACCATCACTCTATCAGGTTTGAAAAAGCTAACTTTCTGGTCTTGACCCCGTAGCTCCAATATTTAGAGTGCCAATGATGTTAAAAATTTTTATTTTAACTCGGTATTTGCGCATGCTCGCTGTATGCGTTTGAAGCTCAAGTACATGGTTTGAACATCCTGAGAGAAACGGAAAACAAGACTTTTTAGACATACTTAAGGTGCCAGGTAGTAATTGAGAGAATAAGGAGAATACAGTGAGAAGTGTCATTACAGCTTCGGTGACATGATCGGGAAAGCATCCTTGAGAACGCATTTGAGCAAAAATCTGTAGGGCGGTGCGAATGTTGGTCGACCAATCAGAAAATAGCAAATGCAAAGTGTGGCTGAATGGTACTCTAAACAGCAGAAATGCCATTGTAATTGAGGGAGAATGAAGGGGAGACTAGGAGAAATGAAGCCTTAGCCTCATGTTTGGTCTAGAGTCACTGGAAGATTTTTGGCAAATGTATGATAGGCCGCTGTTTAAAAAAAATATCCTTTTGATACCAAACTTTGTGGGAGGTAGAGCAGGGGAAATGCAGCCCGGATGGGCAGATTCAGAGTGTGTTCTGTGCTTGTGTCATATTTAATTTTTGAGTAGAAAATACATATGAACAAGCTTTAAAAGGTTACTGGGGTTATGGGATGCATGAACAATCTTTCCCACTTCCCTTTCCCTTCATAGTTTCCCTTCTAAGAAACAGTTATTTTTACATGTGTATTTTATATTTTCCAACGATGTTCTATACCTTGCCATGTAAATACATACACACTTGAAATATATGCATGGAGGTTTTTTTTTAATACAAATGGGATCATATATTTTACATCTTTTCTGCTTTAGAGATCCTTCTGTATTGATGTATGAAATTATGTCACTTTTCATAACTGCATAAATTATTGTAGGTCTTAGCTACCTGGCCATTTATTATGGCTACATAAGTTGTAGCCAGTGTTACACTGTTTTAAGTAATGCAGTTTATTGCCTTGATTTTTCTGTTTTGTGTTTTAAGAGAATGATGAATTTACTGATCCTGTCTCATGGTCTCTGGGTTTTATGTTAAATTGGAAAAAGCTTTCCTTATTCTGAAAAGCTTTTTGGTTGTGTTATACTTTTTCATGTTATTTGTTATATTTAAATTATTGTTATATTTAAATTTCATGTTATTTGTTATATTTAAATTTTCTATTCATCACATTTCTTTGCTATAGGGTAGCAGGCCAGGTAACATCATAATAATTCAGTTCTACAGAGTTCAAAGATGAAGTTTCAACCAAAACATTGTATTTGTAATTTGTTTTTAACCTATGTATGTTTTCATGCAGCAAGATTACCTTATGCTGGCTACTTTGGATGAGAATGAGGAAGTTGTGGATGGAGGCAAAAAGGGAACAATTGATGACCTTCAAGAAGGTGAACTGAAAGCATTTATTCAAAACCTTGGTTTGGACAAATATTCAAATTCTTTCATTGAGGAAGATGAACCGGCTAAAAAAGAAAATGCCAACAAAAAAGAAGCAAAGGCTTCTAAAATAAATAATAAAAAGCAGAATGAGGCAGAAAATGAGAACGTATCGATGAGTAAGGTGAAAAATAAGGACATGGCAGGAAAGCATTCTGCCAAGAAGGGCAGTGCCATACCAAAAGTACCGAAAGAAGAACAACAGGACATGTTTGAATTTTTTGAGAGGCAGACTTTGTTACTCAAGGCTGGTGGCAAATGGTATGATCTGGAGTATACCAGTGAATATTGTTTTGAACCCCAGCCTCGGGATATTGTGTCTAAGTACAAAACCTTGGCTCAAAAGCTGTATGAATGCGAAGTCAAGTTATTCAAAAATAAAACAAATAATCAAAAGGGAGCCTCTTCTACCTGGATGAAGGCGATTGTGTCATCTGGGACACTAGGTGACAGGATGGCAGCCATGATTCTTCTTATCCAGGATGATGCTGTTCACACTCTCCAGTTTGTAGAAACTCTCCTGAGCCTTGTTAAGAAGAAGGGCAGCAAGCAGCAGTGCCTCATGGCTTTGGATACCTTCAAAGAGTTACTCATTACAGACCTCTTACCAGATAACCGCAAGCTGAGGGTTTTCAGCCAGCATCCTTTCAGCAAACTGGAACAGGTGTCCAGTGGCAACAAGGACTCCAGAGACAGAAGGTTAATATTATGGTATTTTGAACACCAGCTGAAACACTTAGTAGCTGAATTTGTGCAGGTCTTAGAAACTTTAAGTCGTGACTCACTGGAAGCCACTAAAACTAGGGCCCTCTTAGCAGCTCATGAGCTACTCTGCAACAAGCCTGAAGAAGAAAAGGCGCTTCTTATGCAGGTGGTGAATAAACTGGGAGACCCTCAGAACAGGATAGCCACCAAGGCCTCCCATCTGTTAGAGACGTTACTCTGTAAACATCCAAACATGAAAGGAGTTGTGTGTGGTGAAATAGAAAGGCTACTCTTCCGCTCAAATATCAGCCCCAAGGCTCAATATTATGCAATTTGCTTTTTAAATCAAATAGTCCTCTCCCATGAAGAAAGTGAACTGGCTAACAAATTAATAACTATCTATTTTTGTTTTTTTCGGACTTGTATCAAGAAAAAAGATATTGAGTCAAAAATGCTCAGTGCCCTTTTATCAGGTGTGAACAGGGCGTACCCTTACTCCCAGAGTGGGGATGAGAAAGTGAGGGAGCAGGTGGACACCTTGTTCAAAGTGCTGCATGTTGTAAATTTTAACACCAGTGTTCAGGCTTTGATGTTGCTTTTCCAAGTGATGAATTCTCAGCAGACCATATCAGATCGATACTATACAGCATTATACAGGTAAGTGCATAGCTTTCCACCGTGCAGCGTGAGTAGTGAGGATCTAGTAGAGTATATGTAGTGCCCAGCTTCTGGGCAAAAAGAGGCTTCACAGAACCGGACTTCAAGTTTGAGACCTTTAAGGAAATAAGCCACAGGTAGAATTGAACTTTCCTTCTCCCCTTGATCCTCAGTTCTCTGTCCTCTCTCCTGTCCAGTAATTCATTCAGGGAGGTGGGGGGACTTTTTCATTTGTTTTCTTTCCAGTATCATGGATTAAATTCAGTCTTCACACTAGCTATGCCCCTAGCCCTCTTCACTTTTTATTTGGAAACAGAGTGTCAGTAAATTGCCCAGGGCAGCTCTAAGTGGAACTTCATGCCTCAGCCTCTGAGAGTGCTAGGATCCTGCGCCTGTGCCATGGCATTGACTTTAGCAAGTATAGTTTGAGTGTTTGTACATGCTGCTTGGTCTGCCTGTTCTCCACACTGTCCACAGGCTCAGGCTGTGGCCCAGTGGAGTCCCACCCTTAGAGGCACTTAGAATAAAATACGTGAAAGATCTTGCTTGCTGTACTTTGCAGCTGTCCTGCGGCTTACCCATGGTGAGCATAGTATTATGAACAATGTGTACCTTTTTAAGCACAGTTCAAGTATACTAACAAGCTACATTACTGAAAAATGTAACCTATTGCACATACTTTTTTTTTTTTTTTTTTTTAGTAGTAGGGATTTAATGGAGGGGAGCTTTATCACTGAAAAATATCGCCAGGACTTAACAGCTTTTTTTATTTGAGATGGTATTAATAAGATGCCCCAACTGACCTTTAATTTTTGACTTCCTTGTGTCACCCCCCTGAGTGGCTGAGATTGCAGCTGTGTGTCCCTGCACCTAACTGCATAGATACATTTGTGAGAAAAAGTGTAATGTACTGGTTAATAGCAACAGTGTCTGGGTTTGAATCCTAGCCATTACTTTTACTTTGTAACTTGGGCTAATAGCTTAATTTTCATTAAAATTGTCAGTAGACATTTTATCTTACCATAATATATTAGAAGAATGTGAAGCAAATAACCTGTCTCGTGGTTATTAGCAAGATTTTGAAGCTTGCCCAAAGTTATACAGCGAGTACAAGACTGAACTGGAACTTTAGTTGAGGCAGTGCAAGATGGCAGAAATGCATGGTGAAGTAAAATCTCACACTTCATAGCCAGGAAGTTAAAGACGAAGAGACAGGGTTCCAGGGCCCCTATCCCCTCCACTAGCCCCTGCCTCCCAGAGTGCCACCACCTCTCAGTAGCACCACACTGGGAAACAAGCCCTTACCCCGTGTACTTTTGGAGGACACTTTCCAAATTACAATGTCTATGTTGACCATGTCAATCTTCATTTATATGCTAAGTGCTTAACAACCTAAAATGTGCTATCACAATATTGGCTGCTATCTGAAATGTAAATATCACACAGTTTTCTTTAATCCTGTAAATGCTGCTATCTGAGATGTAAATATTACATGATTCTTTGATCCTGTAAGTGCCTCAGGTCTGAGGCACAGTGGTTTGTGCAGAGTCACAAGATAGTAAGCCTGAGTTAGGGAGCACATCTACATCTGCTGGCTTTCGAGGTCATGATGTCTCATGGCACTCATTTGTCTGATACACTTTAAAGAATCTCAGAGATCTTGGGGCTGGGGATTTAGCTCAGCGGCATAAGCGCCTGCCTTGTAAGCAGGCAGTTGTGAGTTCGATCCCTGGTACCGATAAAAAGGAAAAAGACCAAAAAAAAAAAAAAAAAAAGAATCTCAGAGATCTTTCCATAGCTCTTTTTAAAAATTTACAATTTTTTTTTTAAAATAACAAATACTTCATGGTTTTAATTTGGTTGAAAATGTAAAGGTCTTGGTTTCTTTGTCCATGTAATGTCAGTCTGTTTAACACACCAGTATAACAACTCTGAGGCAAAGTACATTCCCAAGTTCTTTTGATTACTATTTGCCAGTTGTACTCAGAATTGGGTTGCTTTAAAAACCTGTTAAGCTATTTTAAAGTACTCATTTGCTCTTGGTTTTACTGTGAATCCTTTGAACTAAAATCCCTAACTGATAGGGATCAGAGAAATGATAGGGTTTTTTTTTTCCAAAAATAAAATGTATTAAGAATGTTAGAAACCTATTCTCTGTAAAATGGTAGAGGCAGTCCTATCTAAATTCTTAAGTATTTCTGGAATTTATGATTAAAAGTGAATTGAATGAACAGAAATACTGAAAAGTTTAGGTGTGAAAAGGGGAAGTTGAATATCTCGAAGTATCTCCAAGATGTCTGGAATTACGGGTGTGACAACCGGAGAGAATCAGTATACAAATCCATAAGAACACTTCACAGCTTAAGTACTTTGGTTTTTAGTATTAGTGGAAAACATTCGTGGAAGTGCGTAGAACTAATAAAGTAATTATCCTGTGTGTTATTCAAGCTAATCCGGGGGAATTGTGTCAATTCTTTATGTTCTGTTTTCCTGAGGTTCAGACCAATTAGGGCATTCAGAAGTTAGGATAGAGTGTATTAAAATTACCATATGAGGGGGCCAGAGGTGTAGCTCAGTGGTTAGAGGGCATGCTAAGGGGCCCTGGTTCACTCCCAATGCCCAACCCCTGCCACAGAATGAAAACTGTATGAGATTAAGAGTTGAGCTGCCTACAAGAGACTTGGGGGAGAAAAAGACAGGACTGCATAGGTTCGAGTATTTGGAAAGCTATGACAGAAAATGTTAGATTGTGTTTCTTCAGAGAACAGTAGAATTGATGGTTGGAAATTACACGGGCATAAACTACAGCTCTAGAAAAAGAGAATTTCTAGGGGCTGGAGGTAAGGCTGTGGTAGAATGGTTGACCAGCATGTGTGAGGTCAGGGTTCCATCCCAACATCAGAAAATGAAAGAGATTTCTAGTAAAACAGGTGTCCAGAATTGGGTTGGATTCCTAGTAAGTGCTCAGTGCACAACCACTTTCTATGAAAGTATATTTATTCAGTCAACAAATACTGACAGTTTTGCTGTAAGTTTAGGCACTGGGCTAACAGTAATGAATAACACACAATTCTTGATCCATTTCACATTGGGAGAAAAGGTGGGAAAGCCAAGGAAATAAAGTTTGTGAAACTAAAGAACATTCATGAGACTGGAAGAATAGAGGAACCAGCCAGGCATGGTGGCACATGCATGTAGCCCCAGCACTCAGGAGGTTGAAGCAGGAGGATTGCCTCGGTTCCATAGTGAGTTCTAGACCAGCCGGGGCTCCACAGTAAATTCAAAGACAGCCTGAACCACATAGTAAGATCCTGTCTCAAACCTCCAAAACAGAGGAACCAGGTTTAGATCTGTGGACATGCAGAGCTGCAGGAGAAGATACACAGCCAGTGCACTGGGTCAAACAACCTCTGAAGTCCTGGTAATTTTCTACTATTCATAGGTGGCCTTCACTAGAACCGCGTGGAGCCCACGTCTGGTCACCAGCGAATAGCCAGTGGTACAAGGCCAAAACCCCAGGAGTCTAGTCCCCCGCTTCATAGGAAAATTTTCATTATTGGCTTTTAGATTAGCCTTTCGGGTGAGATCTTATAGTTACATAAAAATCATACTGTTGAGGTTGGACCCTCTTGATTTATAGAAAATTTGGAAAAGAAAAAAACACACAAATGTTTCCTTTTTTCTTTTTCCCCCCTCCTGGTACCACCATCATTCTGCTTCTTCAGATCTGTAATTTTCATTTTATCTGTTAGAACAGAAATGATCTCTTACTCTAACATAAGTAGGAATTTATCTGAAAGATTACATTACCTGTTTGTGAAGTCTCTAAAACATGGTTGTGGAGACATTTCTGTAAGCAAGTATTTGATGTAATTTTATTTTACAGAAAGATCTTGGATCCAGGGTTGCTGATGTGTTCCAAGCAAGCTATGTTCCTTAACCTTGTCTACAAATCTCTGAAAGCAGACATAGTCTTGCGCCGGGTGAAAGCTTTTGTGAAGAGGTTGCTTCAAGTGACTTGCACACAGACGCCACCGTTCATATGTGGAGCTCTGTATCTTGTGTCTGAGATCCTTAAAGCAAAACCAGATTTAAGAAGTCAACTAAACAATCACATGGTATATTTTAAAACTGGTATTTAACTTGAATGGCTGATAAAATGTTTTAGTCGGTTTTGGTTTTTCTTTGTTTCAAGAACAGTAACTTAGTTCTCTGCAGCATATTCCAGTGTGAGCTCTTGGATCAGATGGACCTGAACTTTAGTGCCAGGTGTACACTAACCATGTGGGCAAGCTACTTGACCCTTCTACAAGTATACTACACTAAAGACTGCAGTTATGTTAGACAGTCAGGGAAGATTATAAGTCCTAGTTCCTGTAAAATGGAAGTAATTGCACCTGCCTAGTTGGGTTGTTTATAACATGTCAGATATCTATTTGAGGACCAAGTAATTTCAAGTAATAAAGTTCCAAAGGCTCTTGGCTCAGAAGTTAACTTTGGAGTTGGGTATGGTGGTACATGCCATAATCCTAGCACTTTAGGAAGCTGAGGCAGGAGGATCACAAGTTCAAGCCCAGCCAGGGAAGCTTAGTGAGAGCCTGTCTCAAAATAAAGGTGAAATTTAAAGGACTGGGATACAGCAGATCACGTAAGTGAATACAGACTCCTTGCACTTCTCATTCCATTAACATTTCACTTGATTCATACATTTTTCTAGGAGTCTGATGATGAAGAAAAATTTGTTGACGCAGCAGATGATGATGGCATAGAAAAGGTCACTGATGCAGACGAAGAAACAGAAGTAGATACAGTGAAAAAAGTTGAAACAGAGGAAACTGTGTCTGATACAGAAACCAAAAACCCAAAGACTGCTTCCTGGGTACACGTGAATAATTTGAAAGGTAACATGTTTTTAATCTTTTAAATTATTGTCTTGCATTTTTAAACCAGGGAGTTATTTCCCTGTTTGACTTTTACAGAAATGACTTTGTTTCCCGCAGTGCTAGGGATCAAATCCAGGGTTTTGAACATGCCAGGCAAGTGCCTCACCTCTGAGGTACATCTCCAGCAATAAGAAGTAAATTTTTAAAACAGCAAGTCGCCATTATCTTCACTTAAAAACTATACTTTTCATAGGAAATCATAGAAATTAAAGCAAATACTTTTAGAGCTGTGAGAAAACTGTGTACTGTTCACTGCACAGTAAGCTCATTTCTTCAACTACAAGTTTACACACTTCATCTGGTTACTGTTTTGGTCTTGACCTGAACATGTAAAGGCTTCAAACATGGACACGTAGAGGTACACAAATATGTTTCACACAACTGTGATTTCTAACAGAAGAATTTGACCAAATACTATGAACTGTATGAACTTCTTGGTTCTTTTGTTTAACCATCAGGTTCACCCTTTAACGTTTCTTAGTAGTATTTTACAATAGAAAATGTCTTTTGAGCTAGGAACCCTAAGTGATTTTTTTTTCCATTCATACAAACTGAATTAGCTCTTAATAGGATGTTAGAAAAGAAATCTTAGAGATGCAGGCTCTTCATTTGAGGCTGTGGAGAAGAGAACCCTAAGCTTTGAAGATCAAAAAATGTACCAGACCCATTTCTTCAGCTGTGCTGTGGACTTGTGGTCAGATTAATTTATCTCCAAGTGTAAAACTGTCAGTGAAGTACAAAAGAGGCCTGGTAGCGGCCAGGAAAGTTTTTATAAGAATTTGTCAGTTGTCCTGATAATTGAACTGAGAATAAGCCTTTAAAAAGAGACAAACCTGTGCACCTGTTCACATGTTCTGAAAATCTTGTTTTAAATTTGTTTATTCCCAAATTTCTAAGCACGTTACAGATACGTAAATTCTTACTTGGAATATCTAAGTAAGATTTTAGGGAATGCTTTAGTAACAAATACGTGGCGCACTCTGCAGCTCCAAAAGACCAGACCTGTCTTCAGATTATTTCCATCTTAACATTTACAGCCTGTTTTTTTGACACTTTTTGCTATTTAAAGAGTGTTAAATGGGTTTTTTAGTGTGATAAATATGCTGCCTGGTTTTTTCAAGAACAAATATCAGCTTAGATGCCAAGACTAATGCATGAAGTGGTTTGGAGTTTTGAATCTCGGATGCCTGTTAAAGTTTGTATCTGAAAGAACATTTAATGGTTGTAGTTTTTGTGGCCTCTTGGCTAGCAATAAATCAATGAAAAACACTGTTTTTGTTGTTAGGTGTCAAACAGTTGAATACTTATGATCCATTCAGTAGAAACCCTTTGTTTTGTGGAGCTGAAAATACAAGTTTTTGGGAACTCAAAAAGGTAAAATCATTTCAAATGCTCTTTTAAGTCATTTGTGCTATACATTCTCGCCCTTATAGATTTAACACCTTGAAGTGTTCCTTTTTCTTGTGATACATACAAGTGTCAATATAAACATTATATTTCCACATTTGAGAGAAGGAACTCTCAGGTTTTCACTGTAGAAAAGCTTAATGTGCGTGTAAAATAAAAATGTTGTACCAATGTCTTATAAATATAGCTTTTCGTAGATAAATTGTTGCATAAAACAGCTCTGTAAAAGGATAAACTTTGCTTTTGTACATTAGATATCTGCAGTTTTGCAATGGTAGAATTTTTGCCAGTAAACTTACTGTTTAAATTGCATGAGAGGACTTCATGTTTCTAAATATCCTTCCTGAAATTTCTTGGTGAAGCCAGTATCTTCCTACGCAGCTATTCTCAAAGTGTGGCCAAAGACATTTTAGGGTGTCTGACACCTCCTCAGTGAGTGTGGCAAGGTGTAGTGATCAGAAGATGCTGTCTTGTCGTTAGCAGTAGCCCTGAAGGTAGGGAAGAAGGGACGGGGGAGAAGGGGTCGTACTCCTGTTGCCCTGCCACAGATATACCGCACCACGCTGCCCTGGCAGCCATTGTGCTTTTCACTGCCATATACTTACAGAGAAGGAGAAAGCCAGTGCTGCTCCCTAATGATAAAGCAGGAAATTGTTGATTTTATTACCTTGAGTTTAAAGTACGTTCCAGTACTCCGTGTGCCAGTACCACCTAAGCTGTGTACCTGAGGATGAAGGTCGTCTCTTGAGGAAGCCTGTTTATGTCACTGTTCCAAACTCATCTAGCACTTCTTTTAGAAAGGATGACTTGAGTGTCAGACTGGTTCCTTGAACTTGAGTATTGGGAGCAGTTGTTAAAAATGAATGAATCAGGGCTGGGGATTTAGCTCAGCGGCATAAGCACCTGCCTTGCAAGCAGACAGTCATGAGTTCAATCCCCAGTACCGATAAAAAGGAAAAAGAAAAAAAAAAAAAAATGAATGAATTGGACTTGTTGCTTCAAGCAGATGTTTCAATTTTAGAAATCGTGTAACACCCGCATTGAGGTTCTACAGTGTCCCCGTATGTATAAACCTGGTGTGCTCTACCTCAGAGCTACATCCTAGCCCTGCTATCTTTTGATTTTGAGAAGCTCTCACGAAGTTGCCCCAGCTGGCTTTCAACTTGTATTCTTCCTGCCTCAACCTTCCACAGAATTGAGATTATGTGTGAAAGTTTTTTCTGATGAAATCAGTGGTGGCACGAACAGTGTGTTCTTTGTAAACTAAATGATGTACATTAGAAAGAACTGCATAACTCCATTTTTCAAGTGATTAATGCAGTTTTACACATTCATGTGTAGATAAAAGATATATTCAAAATAAGCCAGTTCTAAATACAAATGCCAAAAGCCATTTGAACATAGTTTCACATTCAGTATTATAACTAATGTTCAGTTTTGGTAAAATATCAAAGAAAGTCCAAGCTTGATTAAAGACTTATGAATCCTCCCTTTTCTAACACTATACCTGCATTGAAGCTAGATTTTCTATGTATGTGTGAACTAACATGGAATACAGCAGCAGATAAAAAGAAACCACTGTCCTTCATTAAGCCAGACGTTGAATGGGCTGCAAAATTGCAAACTGATGTATTCTTCTTGTTAGAGCCATTTATTTTCCATAAACATACATAGTGGATTTATTATTTGTTTGGTACCTGGGGTTGAACTCACGACCTTGTGCTTGCCAGGCACGTACTTGCACCACTGAGCCAAATCCTTGGCACCTCAATTTATTATTTTAAATGAACTGTAATATCTTCAATTCTTCTGTTGTAATTTCTAGTAAATATCAGTCAGTATAACCTAGTAAAAGAGCACTTATAATCCTTGATTTATAAGGGTATGGTGCCAGGGATCAAGCCTTTGCCTGCTAAGTGTGAGGTCATGAGTTCAATCCCTGGTACCAAAAAGAAAGTGTATAAAAAGGTCCTGAGACTGTGATGTTCAAGAATCACTTTTCTGATGTATTGGCTTAAGTTTTAGTTCTTTGAACGTTTTAAAATAAGCTGTATGTAGTAAGAGTTGATACTGGACTTAATGACATTCTTCATACTTCTCTTTTTAGTTATCTGAGCATTTTCATCCCTCCGTAGCGCTTTTTGCGAAGACTATCCTCCAGGTGAGTCTAAAATACTCAAAAGATAAGGAAAGAAAACTTATTTTTATAGCTTTTGATAACCAAAACAGGTCAGACAACGTTTTATCCACTGGATAGAATCATACAGATTTTACTGCTCTTGTAAAGAGCAGTGATTGGTGTAATGCACAGTAGTAAATAATTCTTCCCTCCCCGCAAGATGAATAGAAATACACCACAGCAGTTATTTACCAATTCTGCCTTAATGTTTTGTCCCTTCAGAGTTTGGTTCCTGTCTAATTGAATGGTGGTATTTTTCCAGTATAATGTGCACAAGGTTATTTAAAGGGTTATTACTTATTTGTACCTGATGCAATGTAGTATATGTTTTTCCTTTTTTGCCCCTTATGTAGTAAACCCGTATTTTTTTTAACTTATGTTCTTAATCTCCCACTCCCCACTTTCCAGGGAAATTATATTCAGTATTCAGGGGACCCACTGCAGGATTTCACACTAATGAGATTCTTAGATCGGTTTGTATACCGAAATCCAAAGCCACATAGAGGCAAAGGTACGTTTCCATATCACGGGACCATTTCACAGT